GCATTTTAGGACATATATTAAATCATGAGAACCCAGAACTAGAAAAGCTTTTATGTCCAATCTAATTTCCTTATCGCTTCAGCCTTCGTTTCCTCATTCTTTCTCTTTTGTTGTCCCTAATCTTCCGCATAACTCCGGGGGGTCCTGCCTTTTAATAAGTTTTGTTGCTTATCCTTTGGGGCGTATCAGACATTTTGCCAACAATTTCCAGCAATTTTCAGTAATTTACCTTCCCGCCCAGGGGCTGTGCTGTGTTTTAGAGAAAAAGTTTAAACCTTTGGGGCAAATCTCTCTCTCTATGGGGAGGGATGCTGGCCCTCTCTCTCTCGCCCTTTTGTGCAAAAGTTTTATCTAATTCCTTTGCCAGAGCATAGCCATTTTAACGTCCCCATGTCCTGTCATTCCCGTGTCCTTCAACTTTGTGCGAGGCTCCGGCTCCAATGGGTCTGCCAGGATAGTTCTCCCAGGGAGTGTGCTGCTGTGCCTGCCTGCAGCTCCTGATGTTGATAAATTTCACGCCCTGAAGGAGGACGCCAGTCAGGGAATTCGCTTCCCCTGAAATTACTTTGACTGCAGCAGTCCTTTCCTGGACCTGGACCTGGACCTGGACCTGGCCCTGGACTCGGGGCGGAGGACGAGGCAGGATGTTGCCCTGTGACGCCGCCCAACAATGATTGAATGAAAGGCTAAAAAAGGATTTCAGGAATTTCTCCACACTGTTGTGTGTGTGTGTGTGTGTGTGTGTATACTCGTACCTATACAAAGATATGTATATATGTGGGGGGGTATTCCTGTGGGTGTATATCCTCCTGCTTTCTGCTATATACTGGAGTGTTTCCTGCCCCATCAAATCCCATCTACAGCCCCATTTTGCCACCCATCCACCCATTCGAAATATACACAGAAATAACCTCAAACAAGGACGTTCGGTGAGAAACTTTTTGTGAGGACAAAAGCGACAGCAGACGGTGGGAGAGGGAGAGGGAGCTCCTTCTGATGCTGATGCTGCCGCTTCTTACATATGTATTACATAAGGCTGTGGCTGTGGCTGTGCTCCGCTACCCCCACAAAAACATGGCAGTAATGCAATTTACAGACGCCCCAAAAGCCCCCCGCCTCTCTCTCTCTCTCTCTCTCTCTCTGTACAGCATTACTGCTCCTCCACGCCCAACCCTCACGTGGTCGGAATGGCGCAACAAATGTTGCTGGCTGGCTGCCCCGTGCAACTCCGTTCTGTTCGGTTACCCCTAAAACCGGGTGGACTTTTAGCTGAATTGATTTTTCTGTGGCACCTCCAGTGCGCATGCCGAGGCACTAGCTCACTCTCTCTCTCTCTTTCTCTGGACTCTGGGACTGCATTTTCATAGATACACAGATGCAGAGATAATATATATCATTCATTCGAGTGCCCACCCGCAACCGCCTCTTTTGAGTCACATGCCACACAGCGCTGCTGCTGCTTGCTGCTGCTGCTGCCTCTGTCTCTGCTCGCTGCATGCTCTGACCTGAGCAAACGATGCTGGAAACTGCAGCAGCAGTCTCGCACATCCTCTATATATATATATATATATATATCTGTAGGAATATCTACATATCTGCACATACTCGTATATGTATCTAGTATCTACAGCACATACTCGCTTCGTATATGGGGGCTTGGACGTCCCTCCATTTGTTCGTTGTTTCGTTCTATATGGCCATATTTTAAGTGCTTCTGCTTAAAGCGCTTAATGCGGCTTTAAAAAAGTCTTTATTTTGCCCAGAGAGACACATGGGAAAAGATGGAAATGCAGTGGAAAAGTTACAGACAGAGAAGAGATAGAAATGCAGGGAATATCCAGAAATACAGTGGAGAGATATCTATAGATAGATAGATTAAGAAAGATGGATAGATGATGGGTTATATAGATAGAAGATAGCTAGATAGGAGTATAATTTTTAGAAGAGGCTTCAATTTATAAGTTCCCAGTTCCCAGAATTCTCAAAAAGAATGAACAAATTACAGTCTCTCAGTCTCTACCTCTGAATCTCTCTCTAGCTTCTGGGACTAGTTTTAGATTATATCTATGGCTGGCTTTTATCTATATCTTTACTACCTCGTCTGAGTGAAATATATTTGTCTATTGGTCACATAAATCATATTATTGCATACATATAGACTGACTGGAATTGGGGTAGGGAAAATTAGGGCCGTGGCTCACAACGTTTCCACTCGTTTTATCATAAATATGGAGTTTATTCAAATATAAACTATGATTTGTTTTCCTGTTCCTAGTAAAAACCATCTGAAACTATTTTTGGTATAAGAATTGGCAAAAATTCGAATGATAATGTTGTAAATATTTGCAGTTATATCATTAAACTAGAGGAAGAAGAAAGATAGATGTTTTTTTCTTAATAATTTGACGATGGAATGGATATTCCAAATGGATATTTGTGTTCCTTATTCTTCAACATATGATACTTTTTGTTATTTCGCTTGTAATGAATCGATTTGGATCGGTTTTGCTGAGACTCTCTTCTTGGTTGGAGGATTTTCGAGCAGAACATTCCTTTTCGCCTACTTCAAACTGATTTCTTTGTAAATTTGTAACAAGAATACCTGAAAACCGTATCTAAAATATCTAAAAATTGACAATATTATGTAAAAACTGCAATTGAAATTCTTGGAAACAAGAAACCCAGAAACCTGGAAACCTTGAACTGTGGTCAACGGAATCCTCTTATAACTCAAAGAATTTCAGAGAAATCTTGCTTCAAGAATTCCTTGAAAGATGTTGTTGGATAGATAATTGATATTCAAGATAGTAGTAGATCCTTCTGGATTTACGAAGATGTATACAGCCTACAACCCTTTTTGGCTGCAGCTTCCACCACGTTTGTTTAGACAGACAAAAAGAGAAATAAACCCTTAGTATTTGTTAATAAGATTCAAACTTATTCCATATGACACACATCCCCTGGCAATGGAATGCGAATGAGAGGCTGTGACTGTGACTGCGACTGAGAACTGATGACTGGGTCGGGGACTGAGACTCAGAATGGGTCTGGGACTATGGATGGATGGATGCTGGGGGGAGGGGGAGGGGGGCTGGGCTTATCGACACAACAGATTAGCACGCAACACCCCAGAGAGCCGGGGGAGACCAGAGCCAGAGCCAGAGACGACGTTGACCCGCTGGATCGATTTGATCGCCTGTGCCATTGAACGCGTTCGAAAGCCTCAATTGTAAATCGATCTCCCAAATAGCTGAACATCCGTACTTTCTATATACCCTACAAAAACAAACACACATTTTTCTCTGTTTGCACTTTGGGAATTTTTACATACATATGTATGTATTCCGAGGAAGATCGACTGTGTGATCGTTTGGTCTTTCTTCAGGGAATACAATGAGAATTCAAAACAACATTTAGCAAAAGGTCGCGCCTGTTTTTCGGTTCGTTATTGCCAGGACCCTAACACGACGACCCTCAAGTCATTCCACAGAGCAGAGTCTCCGTCTCCTGTCCTTCAATGAGAGAGAGAGTTCTATTCGAGCCTTTTGCGCGTTAATTTATTTTATTGGGGGTTGGTTTTCGCTTCACTTCTTCACCATCTTTAATGGCTTTGTTTCCATCAGCCGGCTCCTTTTTTCCCAGGTAGAAATAAGGCTTAATCTGTCACTCTTTCCATCTCGCTCTCTCTTGTTTAGAGAACTAAACCCTCTCTGTCTCTCTCGCAGAGAACCACATTTCGTTTGTAGGTTAATTTATAGTTTTGTGGAGATCCCATTACAACAGTTGGTATCGCGCGGTATTGAATGTGAAATGTTGAATACAGTTTTTTCAATGTTTTTGGAAAGTTGAATTCTCAAATGGTATGTTTGGATACTTTTTTGGCCAACATTTATCTTTAAAATGGCTCTAAAATGCAAGATCTACGCGAAATACACGACATCTACATGGTTTCAACTGAACGGAATACGTTTATTCCTACAAATTAAAGCCAAAAATATGTCATTATATGCAATAGGGCAGTAGATATTGTAAGTAGTGGGAATAATTTAATTTCTAATATATTTTCAAATGTGCTTTTCGTTTTTTCTTAAAATACCCGAAATCTACATGAATTTACAACCTTTTTACTCGACAATTTAACTTGCAATTGCCATGAAACTGTATGTATTACATTATCACATTGCCACATAATTTAATTGCTTTTACCCAAGCTAAAACTCTTAAAAATCAGATCTCAAAAACTATTAAATTTCGCATAAAACTCTATTCGACATGTAATTAACGCGGATTCTACACGAAACCCACTCTTACGTTATTCTTTTACGCCGCTCAAAATTGCGTTATCCTTACGTTACGACATTTCGGGCAGACAGTCTGGCAGCACCGCGAAACAAACGCAGAGGCGGCAAAACGTAAAAACGAATCCGACGAAAGAAATACCAAAACGCAAAGCGAAACGGCAAAGAAACAAGCAAAAAATAAAAGAAAGAAAGAAATTAAAATATATATATTGCAAAAACCGGTTACGGCAATAGAAAAAGCAGTCAGCAGCAGCCGCCGTTTTTCAAAACCCAAAGAACGTGGCTCTCCCGGCTGCCCGGCTTTTTTTTTTTTGTGTTGTGTGCATGTAGCGGCGTACGTGTCTGTGTGTGTGTGTGTCGAGTGCGTGTACTGCTTGCCGCGTAAACAAGAGACCGACGACGTACGTCATTTGGCGCCCGTTTATTTATTTGGTTCGGGTGAAATTTTTTCTCTCAAGTGTTTCGCGCAAAAAAGAGAAACACTTAAATTTAGAGAACAATAATTCTCCATGATAGGCTCTAATAGAAATTTGCCCGCAAAAGGGCCCGAAAAGTTGAGGACAAAGATTTTCCCCGAGAAAATCGTGAGTTAATATATTATGCGGAGGTATAGCTAACAATGTTTTGATTTCAATTTGATGGAAAACTTTACTTGAAATAATGCTATATTCACGACGTGTTTTCTGATCTGTTTTCTAGGTCTACAGAAGAACCACCGACAAATAGCTACGAAAGGAACAACTATTACGATCGCAGCAGTCGCCTGAGCAACAATTACCAGCCAACGGCCGCCAACAGTAGTCTGTCTTCTGCCAGCAGCAGCAGCAGCGTTACACCCACAGGAGCCGCAGGAGGGGGTACGGGAACAGGAACAGGAGCAGGAACCACTGATAGATCGAGGAATAGAGATCGCCTGTACAGGAATGGTTCCGCAGCCTCTACGACAGCAGCTAGTACAACGCAATCGACAACAACGGCAGCAGCAACAGCAACGGCAGGAGCCGCGCCGGCGCCGCCACAAGCGTTAGGTGATCGTAGCAACAACAACAATATACAACATCATCAGCAGAACACTCCTCGGGTGGTGGCACCGCAGTCATGGTACGAAGCCGCCGCTGCTGCATCGGCCCAATTAAAAAGTCCTGGTGGCAGTGGCAGTGGAAATGCCGGCGCCTCAGCAGCTACTACCACAGCAGCAGCAGCAGCGACAGCAGCGGCGACAGCCACAGCCACAGCTCAAGGTACAGCCGGCGGCTTTATAATGAGCAGCTCACCGATCAATCATCAGCATCAGCAGCAGCAGCAGCCACATCCTCCTCCGCATCATTTACATTACAGCAGCGCCAGTGGAGCGCCATCCGTGGGATGTGCCCCAAGCGCAGCCGCCACCTCCGTCTCGTACTCATCACCCGCCCAAACGGCGACCACCGCCGTGCATCGCAGTGTCGCCTATGCGGGGAGTGCTGCGGATGATCGCGATGCCATGCGCAAGAGTCACCAACACCACCTCCACCACAACAACAACAGCAGCAGCAGCGGCAGCGGCAGTAAACTCAATAAGCTGCTCAAAGGAGGAGCGACAGGACGCTGTGGCTCGGAATCGCCAGGAGTAGGAGGAGTGGGAGCTGCAACGACGATGACGATGACGACGACAAGTACAATCACAAACAATAGTTTTAGTAATAATAGTTTAAATAATACAATAACCACGGCAACTCCGACGATGCCAACGATTGCATCTGAAACATCTGTATCTGCATGTGCATCTGCATCCCCTGGAGGTGCGGCAGGAGCAGGAGCAGTGGCAGAGGGTAGTGCGGGCAGCGGAGGAGCAACCAGCGGCAGTGGCGGTGACATTCTAAATGTGGCCGCTGCCCTGGCAGCTGCCGTCGACAATGGCACGTCCTCCTCTGCCTCTGCCTCTGCCTCAGCCTCTGCATCCACATCCGCATCCGCCTGCTCCCTAGCATCCGCGTCGAGGCCACACCAGCGACACCACCATCATAATCATCATCATAATCTGCATGGACGCAGCACCACCTCGTCAAGTCGGTCGCATTCGCGTTCGCCGAGCAGCTACAGCAGCTCCCACAGCTCCTCGTCTGCGTCATCGCAAACATCGTCACATTCGCACGCGTCCAGTCCGGTCCAATCGGGCATCCAATGTGCAGATGGTCGTAGCATCTCCCGCAGTCTCCAGTCGGTGGCTGTCAACAGTGAGTGTCCCTTGACCCCCATCCCCCGAGGGAATCCTCCATTAAATCCATTCCCATCCTTCATCTCTTCCAGGCACTGCTTCAAATCCCAGTGGCAATGCTGGCGCCGTAGCCATACCCAGTGGCGGCTGTGGTTCCAGCTCCAGCAGCAGCAGCAGCTCTAGCAGCAGCAGCAGTGGCAGTGGCGGCGGCCACTCCTCCTCCTCGTGTCTCGCTGTGAATCCTGTGGTGCATTCCGAAGATAATCGCCCACTGGCGATACGCGTACGCAACCTGCCCGCCCGTTCCTCGGACACATCCCTCAAGGATGGTCTCTTTCATGAGTACAAAAAGCACGGCAAGGTCACGTGGGTGAAGGTCGTGGGCCAGAACTCCGAGCGCTATGCCCTCGTCTGCTTCAAGAAGCCCGACGACGTGGAGAAGGCGTTGGAGGTCTCGCACGACAAGCACTTTTTCGGCTGTAAAATCGAGGTGGAACCCTACCAGGGCTACGACGTGGAGGACAACGAGTTCCGCCCCTACGAGGCGGAGCTGGACGAGTACCACCCGAAGTCCACGAGGACTCTGTTCATCGGCAACCTGGAGAAGGAGATCACGGCGAGCGAGCTGCGTGTGCATTTCGAGAGCTTCGGCGAGATCATCGAGATCGACATCAAGAAGCAGGGCCTCAACGCCTACGCCTTCTGTCAGTATTCGGACATTGTCTCTGTCGTGAAGGCCATGCGCAAAATGGATGGCGAGCATCTGGGCAGCAACCGGATCAAGCTCGGCTTCGGCAAGTCCATGCCCACCAACTGCGTGTGGATCGACGGGGTGGGCGAGAAGGTGTCCGAGTCCTTTCTCCAGTCGCAGTTCACGCGCTTCGGCGCTGTCACGAAGGTGAGCATTGATCGCCAGCGGCAGCTGGCTTTGGTGCTCTACGATCAGGTGCAGAACGCCCAGGCAGCGGTCAAGGACATGCGGGGCACCATCATGCGTGGCAGGAAGCTGCAGGTGGACTTTGCCTCCAGGGAGTGCCAGGATGCGTTCTACGACAAGCAGGAGAAACTGCAGCAGCAGCAACAGCAACAGAATGCCGGTAAGTGTGCAGCAAAAGGCAAGGCGGATCTGATCCCCAGTCCCCTAATGGTCACCCTCCTTCTAGGTTCCTCGTCGCGTTTCAATCGCTATGAATCCTCCACCCAGCAGTCCAGAGGACGGGCCTCCTCGTTTAGCCGCCTTCAGACAAACTCAAACGATATCTGCAACGATACTGGCAGCAACACGCCCACGAGCGGCGGAGGCACCCCCTCGGCCAGCTCTGCAATGCCTGCGCCCAGCATCGCCTCTGCTATTGCTCCGGCAACAGCAACGGGAGGCGCTTCGGGGCCGGGAGCTGCTGCCTCGACTGCCACGCTGCCATCCGTGGTGGGGAGCAGCAACAGCATAGGCAGCGGCTTGTCGCTGCCCCCCATGTCGCCGGCTGCCATGGCGCAGGTGCGGATGCGAATGGTGAGGAGTGCGAGGCACACCATCGACTTTGATTTCAACGATGTGGCGGCACTGCGAAGATTTCGCGGGGCTGCCATCGGCAACATGGAGGAGCCTCACGATGCAGACATCACAGCCACAACCAAAGTCGGCAGTCGATGCGATTCGCCAGTGATTGCACGTCTGGGACCCGGGCCGCTCGGGAGTGGAGAAACCCCCATGGAGGCGACGCTGATGAACAGCACCAGCAGCAGCAGCATAGGCGTGGGAGGAGCCGGTCGTAGACGTTGCGGTAAGATATCCATAGATTTCCATTTACACAATTCCTGGCATCAGCGCCTCGTTTTTTTTGTAGAACAACTCCTGCTCGATGAATGCCCGTCCAGTGGCGATGAGGGGGGAAGCGTGGTCAGTCCCAGGAAGCGCATCAAAATGGATTACCATCACCATCATCATTCCAATGCCTCAGGGGTGAGTCCTCCTTCCCAACAGTCTCTTTACCCTTTTTTCGAATCTTTTTAATCAACTATTTCCCCTCATTAGCTGGTGGATCCCTATCCCTCCTCGGGGGACAAGCAGCAGCCGCAACAGCCACCTTTGACCCCCCTATCCAACTGTGATGTGATACACGATCCCCTCAATCGCAAGAGCGAGATCCGACGAGTGTCCGAGGCGTCTCCTCTCTCCAGCAGCAACAGCAACAGCATGAAGTTCCCTGGACATCAGCCATCGCCCTCGCCCTCTCTGATGCTCAGCTGCCGCCGACCGTCCATCGATGCTGGCGCCTTCGCGGCGCTCTCCAGCTCCTCGGCGTTTCGCCACGGACTGACGGGGGCCAGCGGCATGGAGCAGCAGCAGCAGCAGCAGCACATGATGAATGCCTCGCTGGCCGCCAAGCGGCGGCGTGTCGCGCCCATGCAGCAGCCACCCACAATGGGGAACAACAGCAGCTCCGGCGGTGGTCTGCTGCTGGGTGGAGGAGTCACCGGGGTGACGCCACCCAACGATGAGGCGTACCACCACCATGTATCGCGAGGACGCGGCCATCAGCTACATTCCCATCACTCGCACGAGGCCAGCGGCGGGGAGAGTGCGGACGGATCGCGGCCGGGCACGCCCCTGTGCGATGAGCGGCCCGAAGTGCTGCCCTCAGAGCCACGACGCCTGCCCCCGCCGAGAGAACGAACGAGGGAAAGGGTCAGGGAGGTGATGTGGCTGCCGATGCCCAAGTTTGGCTACTCGTTCATCCAGCAGCATCGCAGTGGTGGAGGCACTGGCGGAGGCAGCACCGGCTGCTCGTCGAGCAGTGTATCCAGCTACCTGCTGGGCTGTTCCTCGACAGCCGGTGGCCCCGCCAACAGCAACAGCAACTCTAGTCTAAGTGCAGGACTCGGCAGTGGATCATCGGCCTTCCTGCCGAGCCCCTCCTCACGCTACTGGCGATCCTCCTCGCACCAGCATCAACACCAGCATCAGCATCATTCGCACCACTCGCAGCAGCAACAGCAGCCGCAGCAGCAGCAGCAGCAGCAGTCGTCCTCTGGCGCCTCCTTGGGCCTGATGGCCAGCCCGGCGCGGCCTCGCTCGCTGAGCTCCAACTCGAGCGACTCGGATGTGCCTGGACATGCCGGAGGAAGCCCCTCGCTGGATGAACGCCTCCGCAACTTTGAGGAGAACTACGAGCGATGGTCCGGCGGCAGCAACACTCAGCAGCAGCAGCAGCAGACGAGCAGCAACACCAATTCCAGCCACAGCCACAGCCACAGCCATGTCCCGCAGTCGAGCAGCAGCAGCGGCAGCACAACGATGCCCTCGTGGCAGCTCTCGATGCACACGAATCTGAGCGGCTTGAGCACGCATCCGGCAAACTCTGGCAACGGCAACAGCAACAGCTCCAGCGGCACGGCCTCCAGCTGCCATTCGGCGAGCAATTCGCGCCACAAGTTCCTGGACATCGACGAGCTGCAGCCCTCGGATATCGTCAAGTCGGTGCTCGCCAAGAAGTCCATCTTCGACGACGATCTGCAGCGGCTGAAGAAGAACCAGTGGTACGATCCGAGCAGTGCGGACTTTGCCATCGGCTCCACCGCGATGGGATCCACATCGACAGCCTCGCGGCATGGCCTGTGCAGTGGAAATACCTCCCCAGCGCTGCTGCCCAACCTGGCGGCCACCAAGACGACGCCCATCATTGGCAACTGCACGCCCGTTCTGTCCAACAGCTCGACGAGCAGCAAGACGACGACGAGCGGACTTCTGCAGCGGCTGAGCAGCCTCTCGCCCATGAACTCGCCCCAGGCCTCGATGTCTCCCTACAACAGTCCCTCGCCCTCGCCATCGGTGGGAGCGGCTACGCCGAGCGGGCAACTGTCCGCCGTGAAGCCCATGGCGGGATGCAGCAACAGCAGTAGCAGCAGCACCAGCAGCAGTGCCGCGGGCGGAGGAGTGGTTCCCGCGGCTACCGCTACGGTAGTCGCCGCTGCCTCGTCATCGGCATCGGCATCCCCAGCTGCCACATCGGGAGCCACCAAAGGACTGCAGTATCCGTTTCCCAGTCACCCGCCTCTGCCAAACACTGCGGCGCCACCGCCTGCCGTGCAGCCAGCACCACCGCCACCACCAGAGACGGTGACGCAGAAGCAGCAGCAGCAGCCGGCAGCCAAGACGCCCGGACCGCCACCAACGGCACCCAACAGTCTGACGAAGAGTCTGAGTGTGCCCGCCGAGGCACTGCCGCCTTCACAGTCGCCCAGTGCCAGAGCACAGCTGCAGAAGTCTGCCTCTGTGCCGGGCAGCACGAATGTGGGGACTACTACTACCTCCAGCAGCAGCAGCAGCAGCAGCAGCAGCAGCAATGCCCCCTCGAGCTCCTCCAATTCCACATCATCGTCCAACGGTAACAGTTCCTCAGCAACAGCCACCACAACACATGTACAAAAGTCCCAACAGCAACAGCAACAAAACTCCAGCGAAGAGGAGCACAAGAGCAAGACAACCACCTCCCACTCCTCCTCCTCCCACTCACACTCGCACTCCCACAAGAAGAGCAGCAGTAGTGCCCACAGCGGGACAGGCACGAACCGGTCCAACAGCCTGGACAAGTCGCACAGCTCGAACCGAGCCAACAGCACGGACAAGTCCCACTCTGTGGACAAATCCCACTCGGTGGACAAGCACAGCAGTGTGAACCGTTCCAACAGCAAGGAGCAAGCCACGGACAAGTCTAATTCCACAAACAGATCCAACAGCTCGGACAAATCCCACGCGACGGCGACGACGACGACAACGAATCGTTCGAACAGCACGGACAGGTCCCACAGCAGCAGCAGCAGCCGGCACAACAGCCGCTCGGATGGCGGCGACAAGAAGGCGAAAAAGTCCGACAAGAGTTCCGTTTCATCTTCGACGGGCTCCTCCGACAAGCGCAAGAATTCCGCCACATCCCAGTCCTCCAAATCGGCGACTCCACGCATCGAAGACTCCACGGACACGGACGATCCTGGGGAGCGATCCGAAAAGGAGCAGCGCCAGGAGCGGGAGAAGGCGCACCAGAAGGAGCGCCATGAGAGGGAGAAGCGCAAGCAGCAGGAGCGAGAGGAGAAGGAAAAGGAGCGCAAGGCCCACCACCACCAGCCGGAGGACAAAGAGAAGGAAAAGGCTCATCCAGAACGGAAGACGCAGACCCACCACCAAGAGGAAAAGGAAAAAGAGCGCAAATCTCACCAGGAAGAAAAGGAGAAGGAGCGCAAGGCCCAGCAGCAGGAGGAGAAGGAGCGCGAGGAGCGCAAGGCCAAAGAGGAGAAGGAGCGCAAGGCTCAAGAAGAACGTGAGCAAAAGGAGCGTGACGAAAAGGAGCAGCAGCGAGTGCAAGAGCAGCGAGAGCAGGAAAAACGAGAGCGAGAGCAGCGTGAGAAGGAGCATCGCGAGAAGGAGCATCGTGAGCGGGATCACCGGGAGAAGGAAAAAGAACAGTCCTCCCGACGATCCATCTCGGACTCGGATCAAGAGTCCCGCATGTCCAGGATGCGCGAGATGTCCTCGTACCACAAAAGCAAATCCGATGCCAGCTCCGAGGCCAGCAGCTTCTACGCGCACAATGTCACGCCCAGCGCTGCCGAATGCGAGCGGCAGCACAACAAAGAGAATGCCGCCGATGCCGCTACAGTGCCGCCCTCCTCGTGTCCCACGCCCACAGCGCACGATGGCAGCAATGCCAATGCCGCCGCAGCCAAGAATCGCTCGAGGAAGTCCTCCAGGAACTCGCCGGGGCCCCGCATCCACAAGCGTCGCCTCAGCTCGCAGGATAGCAACCACAGCGGCGGAGGCGGCGGCGCAGGTGTCGGTGGTCTGCACAACCATCACGATGACTATGTGAAGCGGATACGCATGGAGAACCATCAGAATCCCCCCACACCCAGCCAGAACCAGCGGCTCAACGATCAGCGTCACGACGGAGCCAAGGAGCAGCAGCATAAGAGCAGCAACAGCATCGCCAGCTCCAAGGACTGCGACCCCAACGCCAAGACAAACTCCAGTTCCTCGCACTCCAAGTCGCACGGCAGTGGCGGCAGCTCTTCCTCCTCCTCGAAGCATCATCGCAGGGAGAAGCATCACTGCAAGAGCATAGCGAGTGCCAGTGCCCCCTCTTCGATGGATGTCGTCACGCCATCGATGGATGTGCTAGAGACCCCAAAGGCAGCCCTCAAGCAGCAACAGCAGCAGCAGCAGCTCGTCAACACCAGCGAGGAGGAGCAGCAGCCGCAGCCAAAGCGGGAGAAGGAGAGGGATCGAGAGAAGGACAGGGAAGGACACCACCACCACAGCAGCAGCTCCTCCTCGCGCCACAAGAGCAAACGAGAGCGTGAGCACCATCGAGAGCATCATCGCGAGAAGAAGCGCCATTCGGTGGCCGAGTCCACCAACACCGATGAGGAGCAGCAGCAGCATCAGCACATGCATGCGCACTCGCATCTCCAGCTGCAGCAGCAGGAGCTGCAGGATCAGGAGCAGGATCAAGAGCACCATCACAATCCCCACAGACGGACCTCTGCCGCTGGCAGTGGCTCGGCGGGAGAACTGAGCTCCGCTCCGACCAACACCTCCAGTGGCAAGGGGCATCGGGATCGGGATCGCGACCGGGAGGGGCATCATCATCACCATGGCCACCACCATCGAAGGAGGAGTGTGGACAGAAAGTCCTCGCGGGGCTCCGACGAGGGGCACCACTCCTCGAAATCGTCGCAGCGCAGCAAGCTGATGATGCTCAGCTCCGCGGACTCGGACGACACGGACGATGCCTCCAAGAAGCACTCGATCTTCGACATACCCGACGACTGTCCCAACGTCTCGATGTACGACAAGGTCAAGGCCAGGAGCTGCAAGAACATGCAGCGGCAGGCCGAGGAGAAGAAGATCAAGGCCAAGTTCTCGCAGCTGAAGCAGTCGCGGGCCAAGAAGAAGCGCTCCACCAGCTACGACGGCGACTCGGACACGGAGTTCGAGGACCGCCATCACCGGAACAGCGGCAGCAGCAGCTTCCACGGCCGACACATCGGTCTCTCCAGCAGCGACGACGACAACGACGACGACGAGGATGAGATGATGCAGAGCCACAGCCATAGCCGCATATTCTCCGACTCGGACGCGAGATCCGAGGGATGCGAGGATCACGAGGCGGTGGCCAGTCGCGTCCTCCAGATGCAGCAGAATCTGCGCCGTCTGTGCGACGGGGACGACAGTTCCGAGGACGAGATACGCAGGAACTTCACCAAGCACAACCAGCACGGAAAGCGCAACTCGCACACGACGCGCATTGCCTCCGATTCGGAGTCGCAGTCGCAGCCCGGAGCCCCAGAGATGGAGGTGCAGATCAAGCTGGAGCCCCAGCCACAGCCAGAGATGGAGATGGAGCTGGAGCTAGAGCCAGAGATCAAGCAGGAACAGCTGTCGGACGGCGGGGGAGAGCAGAAGAAGACAGAGACCGAGTACAAGTCGCGCCACGACTCGCACTCCTCGATGGAGGAGCGCAAGCTGAAGACGGAGATCAAGAAGGAGTATGGGGACTTCTACAACTCTGCCGCCGGTGGGTGCTACTCCAATGCCTACTCCGACTCGGGGACGGGCAAGACTATCAAGGACTATTCCCCGGAGACGCGCAAGAAGCACAAGAAGAGCAAGAAGCGCCTGAAGTCCTCCTCCTCCCGAGAGGTGGAGGCAGCCCAGCAGCAGCAGCAGCCACCGCCATCTCTCGTTGTATCCATAGCCACGCCCTCGATCTTCGATGTGCACTCGTCCGATTTGAAGGGGAACAAGTTTGTGGATAGCCTGGATGATCTGAAGATGGAACGGGAGCGAGACCAGGAGCGGGAGCGGGAACGGGAGCGAGACCAAGAGAGTGTCCTGCCCATATCGCTGGAGATTTCGGCGAGCGAGAGGCGGAAGCACAAGGAGCGCAAGGAGAAGAAACGCGAGAAGATGAGGAACCTCACGGCGGAGACAAACACCATCGCTGGGTCTGCCACCACAGCAGCAGCACCACCACACATGAGCAGCGGCAGCAGCAGCACACCAGCTGCACCGCCAGCAGCAACAGCAGCAGCAGCGGCTGTGCCGGTTCCGTCTGCCGGCAGCAACGATCTCGGGGAGAAGCTGGAGAAGCTATCGAAGGAAGAGAGGCACCGTTTGAAAAAGTCGAAGAAATCCAAGAGTTTGGACAACTCCTCCTCTTCCGCGAGGCTGTACAATGCCGCCTCTGGCAACAGCAGCCTTGTGGCAGCGGCAGCAGCAGCAGCATCCACAGCGCCTGTGTCTGTGCCTGGGCCCGTACCCGTTCCTGCCACACCCACCTCTGCGCCAGCTCTCTCGCGAGACAAGACGCGGGGCGAGGACAAGATGGAGTTCATCTTTGGCATCATCTCGGACGAGGACGAGTCGCAGTTCGCCGACGAGCAGGCAGAAGGCGGAACCAAAGAGATCTCCTCGAGAGAACCGATTGTGTCCGCTGCTCTGCAGACCTACAAGCAGGAGCCACCATCCACACCCACACCCGCACACACCTCCGCCAAGATCCAGGAGAACCAGTTGCCCATCAGCCCAAAGGAGGACCAGCCACCAGTGGAGAGGCCCCCTCGGCAGACGGGCGGCAGCTCGTCGTCCTCCTCCCATGCGGACAGAGAGCGGCATCGCAAGGAGAAGCGCGAGAAGAAGCGACGCGAAAAGTCCCAGCGCGAGCAGCAGCAACAGCAGCAGCAGGCGGCGATCCAGCAGCAGTCCTCCTCGTCGAGTGCCACGAAGATCGAGGACGACAACAGCGTGGACATGGATGAGGCGGGACGGGCCTTGGAGGCCCAACTGATGGACGACTTTGACAGCAAGACGATGCCCGAGGAGGCCACCCCCTCGACGGCCAACACCTACAGATCGGACATGACCGATGTGTTCCGCTTCTCGGACAACGAGGACAACAACTCGGTGGAGCTGAAGCTGAAGCCCTCATCGATGGGAGTCCCGACCCAGCCGAAGCAGCCGCCGGCAGGCGAGGAGCAGCACAAGAGCAAGGACAAGAAGAAAAAGAAGAAGCGCTCCAAGGAGGAGAAGCAGGAGAAGATGCTTCGCAGGGAATCGATTCCCACTCCTTCTCTGGGCCCAGGCCCGGGGCCGGGTCCTCCCTCGACGCCTGGCAAGCTGACGGTGAATGTCCAGGCAGCCGCCAAGCATGCGGGTGAGCAGATGGACGCCACCAAGCATCGTTCTGCATCTGCATCGCCTCCGCTGTGCAAGCCCTCGCCGAGTCTGCCCTGCCTCATCGGAGACGATGACGATGTGGATGTACCACAGCCACAACCACATCCCCCCAAGCCTAAGGTGCCGCCGAGCACTCCCACCAGCACCGGCGCCAATGCCAGTGCCAGCGCCAGGGGCAGCGGCTGCGACAGCCTCACTCCCTCGCGAGAGAAGCCACGCCTGATCAGCCCCATTCCCAAGACCCCGACCATCACGAACTCCACGAGCTCCATGCTGTCCACGCAGTCCGCGGAGACGCCAGTGAGCAGTGGAGCCGGAGCCGGAGCAGGAGCTGGAGCTGGTGCGGCGGGTGTTAACTCCTCGGCGCTGGCCACGACACCCACGTCCTCGACAACAGCCGCCGCTGCGGCCGCTGCAGCAGCCTCTGCTTCCGCGGAGAGCTCTCCCACGAGTGCGGCGCTCGGCAAGAAGAAGGACATCTTCATTCCCGGCTTCGATGGCCAGCTAGACGATAGGATCAGCGAGTCGGCCGTGCAGTCCATCTCCGCGGAGTTCAACAGCGCCTCCCTGCTGGATCCTTTGGCAGGTGAGCCCAAGATTCCGGTGGCCTCGCCACCGGGGGCCACTAAGCCACTGGACAAAATTGAGGACAGCAAATCCCGGGTGACCATCTCCCAGGAGGAGACGGAGAGCGCCGTGTCAGCGCTGCTGGGCGAGAGCTTCGGCACCTCCTCGACGGCCGACTACTCGCTGGATGGCATGGACGAGAGCGAAATGGAGCCGTCGGCGTCGGCTCTCGTTGTGGCCGAGCCCGATGAAGAGGCCGCCCTGGCGGCCAAGGCAATCGAGGGAGCCGTGGAACCACCAGCCATTCTGGAAGACGAGCCTGAAGCCGAGCCAGAGCCAGAGACAGAAGCAGAGCCGCCAGTGGTCGTGGGAGCAGGAGGAGTCCTAGATCCCGACGAGATCAACAAGGCTGTGCAGAGTCTGAGGCACGAGGACATGATGGACATCAAGGCGGACACTCCCCAGTCGGAGAGGGATCTCCAGATCGACACGGACACCGAGGAGAATGAGAATGCCGACGAGGCAGACAGCAGCGGACCGAGTCTCAAGATTGATGAGACCGTCCAGAGTTCAGAGACCTCCTCATCGCCAGAGAAGTCTATGTCGAGCAGCAGGGAAGCGGCAGCATCCAAGGCATCCCCAGTGGCGGATCCACCTTCCAAGAAGAGTCCACCTTCGGTGATCACGAAGCTGCCATCTTTGGAGCAGCAGCAGAAGCAGAAGCCCCCAACATCCGTGATGATCAGCGGCAGCTCGTTGACATCATCTTCCCCCGTGAAGATTGAGCCGCCGACGATCAGCAAACTGCAGCAACCATTGGTGCAGCCGGTGCAGACGGTGCTACCCGCACCCTCGGCGATGCCTCCTGCTCCTGCAAAGGCAGCGCCTGCACCTGCGCCTGCACCACACAAGACTCCCATGCCCATGCCCACACCCACACCCACGCCCACGCCCGTCATCAATCTGGATCTGTCGAATGTGATGGCCAATTGCTCGAACAGCAGCAGCTCCGGGTCTCCCTCGATATCCTTCGGGAGTCCCACGCCCAGCCAGAGCATCCCCTGCATGCCGCAGGCCTCGACGCCCAAGCAGACGCCAACGCAACAGCTGGCACTGCGCACGCAGTCGCTCATCATGCAGCCCCCGACCATCTCCATTCCAGAACAGACGGCGCACTTCATGGTGCCCCACATGGTGCTCTCCCCACATCATCCGCAGCAGCAGCAGCAGCCGACGGCGCCAGGTCCCAGTTACATGATGGGCATTCGGGCACAGTCGCCACACAGTCCGCTGCTGTCGCCGGGACGAGGCGGGCCCCCCATCAATCGAGTGGTGGGCCAACTGAGTCCTGCGGGTCGTCCCGTGCCGCAGCAACAGCAGCAACAACAGCAACAGCATGCAGTGATGACATCCCCGCAAGGCGGCAACATGAGTCCAATGGCCAGTCCCACGCCGCGAGTAGTGGCCACCAATACCACATCTCCCACCACGAGCAAGCCAAACAGCTACCAGCCGCGAGGACAACAGCAGCCACACCAGCAACAGCAGCCACACCAGCAGCAGCAGCCATCGCCCAAGTCTCTGATGGATCTACACTCGCCGCAGTCGTCACAGTCGTCACAACTGATTCCCATGCCGATGCAGAAGATGCCGCCGATGCAGGTGCCACACCACCCGACGATCATCAGCAAGGTGGTGACAGTGCAGCCGCAGCAGGCCACCCAATCGCAGGTGGCAAGCTCACCGCCTTTGGGCAGCCTGCCGCCTCTTGGGCACAAGAGCCTCCACGTGAATGCACAGCCACAGCCGCCACATCATCAGGCGCAACAGCAGCAGCAGCAGCAACAGCAGCAGCAACAACAACAACAACAACAACAGTTGTCGCCGCAAATGATGTCCAAGATGACGGCAGCACATCAGCAGCATCAACATCAGCAACAAGTGCACCAGTTTATGCACCAGCAAATGTTGCAACGACAGCAGCATCAGCAACAGCAGCAGCAACAACAACAGCAGCAGCATTTGCAACAGCAGCAGCAACATGGACATCCGCATGGACAACAGCAGTCGCAACAGCATCAGCAGCAGTCGCAGCTCCATGGACAGCAGCAACACCAACTGCAGTTGACGCCCGCGCAGCAACATCAGTTGCAGCAACAGCATCCGCATCAGGCGCCACAGCAGCAGTTGACTTCCGCGCAGCATCAGCACTTCCAACATCAGCAGCAGCATCAGATGAACCAACAGCAGCAGCAGCAGTTGAACCATCAGCAACAGCATGCACAGCAGCAACAACATCAAGTCCAGGCACAGCAGCAACAACATCAAGTCCAGGCACAGCAGCAACAACATCAAGTCCAGGTACAGCAGCAACAACAGCAGCAACAGCAGTTGAACCAACAGCAGGCACTGCAGGCGCAACAGTTGCACATCCAGAAACTGCAGCAACAGGTACAACAACATCCTCCCCAGCAGCAGCAGCAGCTGGGTCCGCCGCCACCGATGTTTTCACAGCATCCGCCACGTGGTATGGCCAACCAGCAGCAACAGCAACAGTTGGCACACAGTCCGCCGTGCAAGCCTGCAAATCCAATGGTGCACAGTCCATCATTGCTGGTGAGAGTGCCACAACCGCAGCAGCAGCAGCAGCAACAGCAGCAATCGTCTCCAGGCGCCACGCAAATGCAAACGCATCCAACGCCGCAACTGAATGTGATCCAGAGTCCAACTGCCAAGCAGCCACTGATTGTCCAGCAGCATATTGTGCCACCGCCAGCAGCACAAGCACCGACGACAGCCGCCAACGCGAAGATCCACTATCCAACGCAACAAAATGTGAATCCCAGTCCCAATCTCATCAAGGAGACCCCGGTGGAGGCATCGGGATCGGCATCATTGGCCAACAAGACGTCGGAGAGTGTTTCGGTGATACGGACACCCACACCCACGACCAGCGGCAGCGGCAGTCCGGCGATAATCTCTCCAAAGGCAGCCAGTGCCACAGCCGGTGGCACATCCCTGCTGACGGAGGAGAATCTCATCAAGATCTCGTCGCAGCCCAAGCAGGATGAACTGATCGAGCAGGACTCCAAGGAGGTGGACAGCGACTACTGGTCCGCCAAGGAGGTGAATATCGATAGTGTGATCAAGAAGCTGGATCCACGGGAGCCGCCGCCACCTCCGGCAGTCATCAAGGAGATGCCCCCGACAGTGGCAGTCGCGGTGGCTGCCCCAGTGGAGGTGCCACCCACCCCTACCATACCCACGGTGACACCAGTGTCGACACCGCCTCCTGCTGCTACATCTGCTCCTGCTCCTGCGCCTGCCCCTGCCCCTATTCTAACGGTGAACGATCACGACACGGAGGACGAGACGGAGACCCTTCAGATGGCCCCGAAGCCCAGCACTCCGACTGTGGGCAGACCGCCGGGTCGTGGAGGCGCCAGCAAGCGTGGCAGACAGCCACGTGGCGCCAAGAAGCAGGGCGGACTCCCACTGACCACGCCAGGCGCTGCACCAGGAGCTGATGCTGGATTGGGCATCGCTCCCGGCGACAATGGAGTGCAGACTCGTCTAAGGAAGCCGGTGACGGCGCCTGTGACTCGCGGCAGGAAGGGTCGTCCGCCCAGGAACCTCCTCCTGCAACAGCAGCAGCTCCAACAACAGCAGCTGGCGCAACAGCAGCAGCAGCAGAAGGCCATGGAAATGGCGACACCCACATCCACACCCACGCCCATAGCAGCAGCTGTGGCAGCGGTAACGCCCAGCACTCCAGTACCGACGGCCGCGGAGAAGAAGGCCAGGAATCAGGCGCTGACTCAGGCGCAAGCCTCCAACCAGGACGTTTATGAGTTCAACGATGACTCCGGCGAGGCTGAGCCCAAGGTCAAGATTGCGACTGTGGTGCAGCCAGTGGAGGATCAGCGGCCGCGTCTCATTCTGACAATCAACAAGTCGCAGCCGTCGATCAGGAGCAGCACCGACGTGGAGCCACCAGCAGAGGCACAGGCACAGCCACAACCACAATCCCTGTCACAGCCACAGCCCCAGGCGCACGCCCACAACGATGCGACGATTAGCGACAACTCGAGCGAATCGAGCAACACGCGCAAGTCTCGCCGCCTGCAGGAGAAGGAGGATCGCAGCACAGTGGACGACATCATCGAGGATGTGGTGCGGAATACCAACACACAAATGGCCGCAGGAATCAGTGCCGGAATCGGCGCACAGACTCCTCCCCGCCGCTCCGGACGGAATGCCCAGACGAAGAAAACGGATCTCGTGAATCCGCCCACCAATGCCGTGGGTCGTCCCCGTCGCACCAAGGACAGGAAGCAAACCATCTCGGAGCCGCTGTCGAGCCTGATGGAGGACTCATCGCAATCCTCATCATCGCCCGCACCGCCCGCGACGCCCATCCTGCATGGCCCCGAGCAGCATGCCGCACATATGCCGCAGCTGGACACCAAAGAAGTTGAACCCACAGCCGCCACGCCATCCGCTGTTCCTGTTCCTGTTTCGCATCCTGCTGCAGTGCCTGCAGTGCCAGTGGTGCCAGTGATGCCCGTGCATCCCACGAAGCCCACGATACCACAGCATCCGAAGAAAAAGGCGATTGCCGCAGCGGAGATCGAATCGTATCAGGCCATCAACTCGTCGATACCCAGTGGAGGGCTGCCCATGCACCAGACGGCAGCTCCGGCCACGCAGAAGATCACTGGAGGGGCAGCGGATGCCGTCAGCAAGGCCCTGGTGGATCCCGTCACGGGAGTTATCACCGCGGGCATGCCGCAGGGCAAGGAGGGCAACCTCCCGGCAGCCACGGCTGCAGCTCCCACCAACAGCAGCAATGAGGCGGCACCGCAGATGCAGCAGCAGCAGCAGCCACACCACCAACACCAGCAACAGCCGCTGCCACAGCAGCAGATCAATGCCACAGTGCTGGCTCCGTCTACGGCGGCGTCCATCACTGCGGCTATGGGCAACAAGACCGTGCAGCTGGATGCAGCTGCTGCAGCGGCGCTGTTGAACAAACCCGTCAGCGTGTTGGTAAAGCAGCAGCAGCAGCAGCAGGGACAACCGCAGTTGGTGGCGCCACCAAAGCAACAACAACCGATAGTGCTACAGCAGAATCCACTGCCGACGGTGTTGCAACATGCCCAGCTGAGCAACGTGCGGCCACCGCAGCCACTGAAGGCGCATGTCCTGAACAGGGAAAAGAACCTCCAGCAGCAACAGCAGCAGCAGCAGCAACTGACGCCCACAAAGGCGCAGCCAGCGGTTGCAGGACACATGCTGATCACAGATGCCGCAGGCAATCAGCTGCTCCAGCCACAGATCATAGCACGCCACTTGCAGCAGCAGCAGCATCTGCTGGTGAACGTGCCGCCACCATCGGCACATTCGCCACATTCTCCCAGGATTCAGGGGCAACAGCAGCAGCAGCAGCCACAGCAACAGCACCAGCAGCAGATGGGAGCAGCAGCACCCATGCCACAGCAACAACAGCAGCAGCAGACGCTGGTCATCAAGCAGGCAACATCTGCAGCACCACCGCAGATCCTGCATGTCGTAAGCTCCAAGGCTTCCGTGGTGCCGCAGCCGCAGCAGCTGCCGCCCACCTCTTCGGCGACAGGATATATGCAGCGTGGCAACTCTGGCTACGTGCCGCCCACCGTGCTGGCACCTGCCACATCCGCACAACAGCAGCAGCTGTACAAGCCACCGAACCAGCAGAAGGCCGGACCACCGCAGGGAGTGCCAGTGCAGGTGCAGCTGCCGCTGCCGCCGCACGGGATACCCATGCTACCCAATCATCCGGGCCTGCTGCTACAGCAGCAGAAGGCCCCGGCGCACCTGCAGCCGCAGCAGCATCAGTTGACGCCTTCGCCGCCCTTGGCGCCTGGCAAACCGAATCCCGTGGTGCACAGCCTGCAGACAGGACAGATCCTGCCAGGGAGCGTGGGCAGTCCGCCGCCCGTCTCCGTGGCTGCAGTGCTCAAGTCGGCGCAGCAGCAGGCTAACTCTGCAGCAGCAGCAGCGGGTAAGTGGAACGCCCTACCAGCTCCAATCGACAGACGGAGCGTAACTAATCCTCGATCTCGATCCATTGCAGTCTTGCGCACGGCCATTCCCAACATCAGTCCGCAGGGACAGCCGAGGGTTTCGCCCCTGGTTCTGCCACCAGGAATGCCGGGAGTGCCGCCCTTCGACACGAGTCTGGTAAGCATATCGATCAAGCCGTAGTCCCACCTAACACTTAATCCTATCTACTAAGCATAAGCGTAACCAAAACTAATCCTGAAACTAACTTTTAACTTTAAACTCTTGAAATTGCCAACATTTTTGTGGACGCTGCAGCACGATCTGGGTGCCTATGTCAGTGGACGACGCACCCAGAGTCCGCCGCCGGCCCACCAACAGGCCTCGCCCATAACACCGGTAATGCACGAGTTTTACTTGTGGAGCTTACAAGTAGCGTAATCCCAATCCCCCTCTGGCCAAACAAGAAGAGCACCCAGAAACCCTGCCTCGAGGAAATCCCTTACTAATCCTCATCCAACCTTTGTTCGATCCTTGCTTACAGAACGATTCCACGTATCGGGGTGTGGCTGCGTCCAGGGACTTTATGCTCTATCAACACCATTTGATGCGCAGCGGCGACTACGACGACAAGATGATCAGCAACAGTCCGCCGTTGGAGCTACGGCGACCTGGCAGTGGACCACCGCGCACCATTGCAGTGCCGCACAGCCTGCAGAGCCCGCAGGATCGCACAGCAGCGGGTAAGTACCGATTGAAGCCACTCTTATGGAACAACTCATTGATATGATATGATCCCCTCGGTTCCTCTTCAGACTCCCCTCAAATGGCGCAGGTCTATGTGCATAATGCTCGCATTCCCCATGCCCACTTCAGCGACATGGCCACGCGGGCGGGCTACTACGAGACCGGTGGGATACAGCTGGAACCGCCGCCAGCCCATCGACCGGCGGCTTCGATCAGCGTGGTGGTGCCGCCACCGCCTGTCGGGGCGAGTGTCAGTCCATTCCTCGGCCGGGATGGCAGCATGCAGCTGGAGGATAGGGAGAGGGAGATGGAGCGCATGTCCATGATCGCAGCAGTCGGTGAGTGTCTGCAATCACGATATCCATATCCACCAGTAGCCCTGACTGACCGTTCCCGTTTCACAGTCAATCAGCAGCAGGAGCAAATGCCAGCAGCTGTTCTGCACGCCGGCATGGAGCTGGCCGCCGCCCAACAGCAGGCACCGCCGCCAGCAATGGCCCCGCCGCCGGGTGACTCGCTCGTGACACTGCTGCAACGCTATCCCGTGATGTGGCAGGGATTGCTGGCCCTGAAAACGGACCAGGCTGCCGTTCAAATGCACTTCGTGCACGGCAATCCGAACGTGGCGCGTGCCTCACTGCCGAGTCTGGCGGAGAGTAGCACGCCGCTGCTGAGGATTGCCCAGCGTATGCGCTTGGAGCAGACGCAGCTGGAGGGAGTGGCCAAAAAGATGCAGGTAAGTCCTATCCCACTCTCATCTCTGGGTGGACCGGAAATCTGTTACAGATGATAACCGAATGTCATTCCCATGTACAGGTTGACAAGGAGCACTGCATGTTGCTGGCCTTGCCATGCGGCCGAGACCATGCCGATGTGCTGCAGCACTCGAGGAACCTACAGACCGGATTCATCACTTATCTGCAACAGAAAATGGCCGCGGGCATTGTCAACATCCCCATACCGGGAAGTGAACAGGCCGCCTACGTGGTGCACATCTTCCCGGCCTGCGATTTCGCCAACGAGAACCTGGAGCGTGCCGCACCGGATCTCAAGAATCGTGTAGCCGAGTTGGCACACCTCCTGATTGTCATAGCCACTGTCTAAGGCACACACCAGAACAGCTAGGACAGTGCCAGGACAGTGGCTGCACCACCGGACTATGACTTTGTAAATCTCTAGGATGCGACACTTTACCCAGACTCTGACAAAGAAAAACCACCCACAAGAACCAAGAACAGCAGCAGGCAACTACAAGAACTACAACCAACCAACAAAACAAGTTACGCTCTTCTAGTATTTTAAGTAATTTTAAATAGCGATTAAACAAGCAAAAGTTTAAAAAAAGCAAAGCAAAGCAAAAAGAACTTAAACAAGCAGAAATCACATGCAAACTTTATTGAATAAATAAATGCACGCGACGAAACGAGACGAGACGAGACGAGACGAGACGAGACGAAAATTAGATGGAATGGAACATTGTTGCTCCCAGAATATGTATTTGATTTGAATATCTGACGAAGAGAATACAGAATGTCATGTCCAAAAACAGAACTCAAACAAAGCGAAAAGATCCAGCGTTCAGCAACCACTTGTACACTTTAAAAGCAAAAGCAAAATACGATGAATATATATTTGTCTAAATTTAATTATTTAACCTTCCCCTAATTTAATCCTTTAAAAGAAAACAAAACAAAACAAAATGAAAAAGAAAAGAAAAGAAAAGCTTGCAAAGTATCGTTAAGTTTGATCTCAAGAAAAGAAAGTTTTATTTTTTGCTTAATTTAAAATGAAAGAAAATGTAAGAAAAAACACACACAAACACAACAACAAGTAAACGTAAAGGCAACACGCAAAAAAAAACACACATACACAAGCAAATGTTAAACGAAAAAAGCTTAAAACATAATAACTGTTTACTGTACTATGCATACTACTACCCATACCATACCATACCAATACCAATACCATACCATACCATACATAATATGAATATCCGATGATTCTATGACCCCCAAAAACCCCTCTCTGCCCCTAACAAGTTTGAGTTTTCGATTGGTGACTACTTCAAGGGTCAAACCGCCGCCTCCCCACACCCAAATACTTTTGCACATCTTACAAAGTTTCCGCCAGAAAAGTCCTAGAATTTGTTGAGTTTTCCAATTGGTTCATTGGCTCTATGGAAGGCCCTCCCTCCCTCTGTAGAAGAAAGGCCTGGCATAGACCCAAGGACCCAACCAACTCGAGCCCCCATGAACTTACCCTACCTGTCTGGTGTGGTCTGATCTGTCGCCAACGCTGTTTGCAGCACAATTAGGTTTAAAGATGCGCCCAGAGGCTTTTCCTACGATTACATACACACACACACACATACACACGTATACATTACATTATATTACCATACACATATACATATACATACATTACGAGTATACATATAGCCACGTATAGAGCGTATTTAATTATAAACGAATATGTGTTAAGCCAAATATTTTAAAGTTTAGAGAGAGAATAGTTTTGTGTTGGATTTCCTGCTCCGCTCTGCACCAGAGCAACTTATATTGCTTTCCATCAAAACCCCCGCAACGACGGGGTTTCTGTTCTTCCAGACTCGACGTTGTGGGTCTTTTTGTGCGACCCCTTGAACATTTTTTTTTCTGTTAGATCTTGTTGGTTTTTGAAATTGTCGATACCCCATTACAACACCACCACTGCCACAACACTAAAACACTGGACTATCTAAATCGAGGCGTTCCGTTCCGTTCCGTTTCCCGTTTCCAGTTTCCGTTCCCCATATTTCAATTTTGTTCAATACTAATTCGGTTTGTTCGCGCGAAACTTTGTAAGATGATTGTTTGGGGGATGCGGGGGAAGCCCTCTTTATACCCTCAAAAGCCATCTGCTGACACATACACAGACCTAAACACCCTCCTCTACCCTAAACATACATACCCACGACACCATATGCTATAGAATAAACTATATAGTACTACCTACCTACCCTCTCTGTACACTCCTTAAACTTAAACGTACGTTTTCACGCCCACTTGTAAATTATGTGACGACAACAAAAAGATGAAACAAAACAAGAAAAATAACGATAAAACGAAAAACAAAACAAAATAAAAAAAGATGAAACAAAAACAAGAAAAGAAAACAAAACAATACACAACTGTAAAATATTTAAATTATTTAGAATCTAACAGATATATGAAATGTAAATACAGTTTAATTAGTGTTTAGCCCGTATTTAGTTGTATGTTTTAAAACTAAACTAAAGAAACTGTACATTATATAACACAATTAATGATACGAAAGAAAAAACACGAAACGATCGATCAGAGGAAGAGATCAGTTCATACAGAAACAGAAACAGATAAACAGAAAAAAGTAAAGTAAAAGGAAAGAAAACATTTTCAAACAGAAACAAAAACAGATGAAGCGCTGTTAAACATATGTTTATGTATAAGTTGTATGCTTTAAGACACTTTTTAGTTATTTCCTAAGTTAATTTGAAGAAAAACGATTAAATTACACTTATTTCTTACACTTGGTTTCTTCTTATTGTTATTATTATCCTTTTCCTTTCAAACTATGGACATGATCCAGACATTTTCGACCTCTCCTCCCAGATCCCAAATCCCAAATCCCAGATCCAGACAACTGTCTGATTTGATTGTTCCCAATAGCGTTGTTGGTTGTTCAGATAAACCGTTATCTCTCTCAGCCCGCGAAAACCGAAACAAAACCGAACCGATCGAACCCATTAGCGAAATGCAACTTATACATACATATATACATAATATATATAGATGTTAATGTTATAACTGTAATTAAATAAATTCTATACCTATGCATTATAACGATGTTGGTGTTTGTGGATCCTCTCTCCTCTCCTCCACAAAGCTTTGATTTTGGAATTTCAGAAATTTCTTGGTTCTGTCTGTTTAAAATTTAACAGTTTCAGTGTTTTTCATCTTACTGAACACTGAACGTGAGCGACCATATCTACCTCACACACCTTGCATAATTTTATACTTTTAAAGTACTGTTTGGAGTATTTTCTAGTATATCTATATTTTTCTGGTATAATTACTGTATATCGGTATATAACGGTATATTTAGCCAATTTCATCAATCTATTGAATTTCATTTTCAACGGTATATAGAAATCCAATAAAAGCAAGTATTTAGAATAGGCCAATCATGTATAGAAATGATTCATCAATCGTACAAAAATGAGTGGCCATGGCTAAATGTTCCATATAGATAGTATTATTCAACGGAACAAAGAATATGAGGAATTGGTCGTTTTTTTGAATCGAATTTGAATTCGCCGCAGTTCGCCGCAGTTCGCTTTAGCAACAATGAGTCTCATTCCATACACAAATGTTGCGCATTCCATACACAAAAGTTGCGGCAACATTTACTTGAAAACCGTTTTTTGGTCAAAATAAAATACATAAATGTAATTAAAAGAAACAATCTTGTAGAAAATGCATTTATCTATGGGATAAAGCTAAGTGGGCATCTATATAGCTTGAAATATTCGATTTTGCAATAACCGGTTCACAACAAATGAGTCCCATTCCATACACAAACATGTTGCTAATTCCATGCACACATACCCTGGGGGAAATGGATGTTATAGAATTTTGAATACGTTTGTCTTCCAAGGCTCAGTAGGTATCAGGATCGCTATAAATATACACAAGATACTAATAATGTACTTGAATATGTCTAAAGAATATCAATTTGAGAAAAGGTCTTTATAAATCACGTTTCATCTTCATATAAAATTAACGAAATAGGGTATAAAAATGCCTATACACGCATTTTGTCTTCAAATACCAGCAACATTGCGACTCTTTTTTTGTTGAACTATTTTGTTTAAACCTTGTTTTAGTCAAAATACAATAAAAGCAAGTATTAAAAATACACCAGTTAGATAGAAAATTGATTAATCAATCGTACATATTTATGTGGGCATGGCTAAATGTTCTATCTAGCCAGTAATATTCAGCGGAATATCAAAATCGAGGAATATGGTTTCCAATCCTTGACGGAGAACGATTAACCTATTATAAGCCAAGGGGGTATTTCAATTTTCCACTGAAAATAATGAAAATTTAATAATTTTAGCGCACTTCAGCTGAAAAATATCGTGGTTTTTTTAAGTTCAGAGGAGAGATGGCATAAATCCTCAAGACAAATTTACAATCAGTAATATTTTCCGCCATTTACCTCAAGTAGTTGAACTATTTAAATAGAGGGGGCTTTAGTGGGCTGAGCCGGTCTCACAAATGTAAACAAATCGTAAAATTTTGTCTTTCCACCTAGTTTTTGAATCAAATTGCTCGCATTTTCTGCCTAACATAATGGATTTTACGAAGCAGATGGACGATCACCTCTTCATGCTCATTGAAAACACCAAGTTCTTTAAGCAAATGGCCGACGGTAATTTTTTTCCAAGTTGCTCATTTAATCGAGTTGTAAACAGATCTGAATTCACACAGCGCTGGGCGATTGCGATGAGAATGGCGAAATAAAAAGGTTTCTCGAAGAAAGCGTAAGAAAGCGCCTGCAGATGGGAGAAAAAGTTGTAAAAATAGAACAGGAGCATAAAAACACCTGCAAGGCCATGGATCAGGCCAAGGGTGAGAGTGCCAGCACGGAGGAGCTCTTGAGGAAAGTCGATCAACTGAAACAAGCTGCCGCTAAAAAGTCCTCCAATGTGAAGAACAAAGCCAAATACAAATACTTTAAGAGGGAAATGGAATCCTCTGCTGGTCGGGCCGACGGGAATGCTCCTACTTCCGATGGTGATTGCAGTATGTCCGAAGTTGTGCAAACCGGAGGCGATGTGTTCTCCCTACACGACCCATGGTCGATGGCGCTGATGAAGGACCCCGTACGTAACAGGATGTGTGGCCACATCTACGACAGTGGATCGGTTAACGCCATGATAAAGGATAACCTCAGTATCCGCTGTCCTGTATCGGGCTGTGCCAATGAGCACTTCATTCAGCCCTCGCATTTGGTGCAGGACATCGAGGCTCAGGAGAAGCTGCGTCGTCATCTGTCTGAGCAGAAGTTCGAGGTAACTTCTGATTCTGACGATTCTGATTCTGATTAGTAGCTAAAGTGCGGTGTTTTTTTAATAATACAAGAATATAGATAGCCCACGAATGGTGGGGAAACATAAAACTATATTATACATTAACAGGCAATATCCTTATTGTCCTTGCCCTTATAGCGCAATCACGAGATGGCGAGGAAACCCCTAATATGGCGAGAAGTACATTTGTGTTTACGATGGGGGAAAATATCCTATTCCTAATAAAATAAAAAAGTTTCTTTAAGAAACCAGCGACCTTCTGCTAATTCCTGTTCGCCTGGTATCCCAGATCTGAATTTTCTCGTGTTCGGGCTTTTGAGCGACGTTAAGTTGTCATTTATTTTCTGATATATCCTTAATCATTTGGTAAGGACTCAAACAACCTAGCCAGTCATCGACAACAAGGACTTTGACTATGGAAACCAAGAAATGCGGCTACGCGGGCATTAGACTCTATATAGATCTCGCTGTTGTTAGGTTTAAGGATATACGCGTCTACACATTTAGATAGTACATATAAATGTTTACCACTTGTTTATTTATGTATACTAAGCTGAGTTTTGATGAATTAAAATATTTAAGAATCGTCCTTGCTGTATCCTGTATCGGAGAAATTATCCCGATTGCAAAAAGGCGTGGGACGCCCAGATCGGTTCACAAATAGCGGGAAAAACCAAAGGAAATTTTTTTTTAATGGTGAAAACGTCCTTGATCCTTGATAAGGACTCTATCAAATCGGAGCATTTTTCCGATCGGGCCACAATCGGATACTGGACTTAATAATTGTATTTGAGTTTTAAAAATAAAAAATCATAAATAATTATGTTTGAGTTTTAAGGCCGCCGGAGCGCGCCCAGTTCAAAAAGAGGGCGGGCGCGCCAAGAAGACGCGCCGCAGGACACGGAAATGATCTATGAACTGGTTAGTGCTTAAATAGAGAGTTTTTATGAGGATTCAAGTGGGTTAAGTTGAACTAGTTCGTTCATAGTGAACGTTTATGAAAGACCGATAACTAGGGCTGCACTCACCCAACAGATGTTAGCAAAAACTTTAAATTGTAAGTAATAGTGGTAAATAATAAAATAAAATAAACTGGTATGAATACTTAAGAAATTGGAGCTCTGTGGCCCCCGCAACGGCAAGCGTTTCGCCATTCCAGTTCGGTAGTTAGTTTTTTACACTCAAACAAATTTCTTCTTCTTTCTCTGCAGTTCCACCAATTGAATTTCTATTACTAAACTGAACTTAAATAAAATCAAAAATATAACATTATTTAAGACGCGGAGCAATCTTGAAATATGGCCAATTTGATGCAGAGAAGTAAGCGCTATGTATAATTAAATAACCAGGCAGAATTGTTGGGGCACTCAATGTCGGCTGGCTCGTGGTTATACAATCCGCTAAATTATTGTACCTCTCTATCAATTGACAATTACAGGCCTGCCCCTGACCACTACACGTACTCCGGTGCTGCAGTTCCTACGTTTTCGTGGAAAAATCAACATACAGCGACCAAAGGAGCCACATTATGAGCGTGCTCGTGTTGTGGCCGTCACACAGCCAAAATACCCGGAGCTGCCAAAGGCACGCTCGTGCTTCCAGACCCGCGCCGAACGCACCAAGGAACAGCTGGAGAATCCCTACAACGAGATCATTGCCCGGGAAGTGCGAAACTGGCTGAATCACTCACAGCTAGTGGCTATCTTCCACCTGAACTCCATCACCGCCGACGAGATCTTTCGGGTGCGAGTCCAGCTGCATAAACAGAACCTGCATTTGAAGTCGTATGGCCGCAAGATCATAGACCAAGCCGTGACCGGCACGCCGTACGAGGCCATCATGCCGCTCTTCCACTCCAATCACTGCATTGTGTTCTCCCCAAATCAGCAGCAGATTGGCGCACTGCTGAAGATCACACGCAGAGTGCCACAGATGGTGCTGCTGGGAGGCATTGTTGAGAAGACACTGCTCAGCAGAAACGAGCTGATGGCCTATGCCCAAATGCCAAATCTGCAGGGGGCCCAGGCACAGCTCGTCCAAACCCTCAACCTGGCAGCTGGCCAGCTGGTCCAACATCTGCAGACGCACCAGGCTAATCTGGTGCAGGTCCTGGACGTGCACGCCAAGGGCAATGGCGATACCAACACCAATACCACAGAGACGGCGGACGAGTCATAATATTGTAAAATTCTAATTGTTAAATAACAAGAAAAGCGAAAAAGTGATTATTTTGTCTTTCATACTAAACTAGCAGCTAAAAATGTTAACTATGACTAGATTGCACTTTTCCAACGGGCCTGAATCTTCTGCTGGAATGATGGCGTCAGATGCGTTTTGGGATGCCTCTTAGGTGCCGATCGTTAGGAGCTGATCGTTGTCATGTCATGCCAGCGCTGTCTGCAGTTGAAGGCGAGATTCGCAAGAGCCTCGGCCGCATCCAGTTCGTCCTTGTGGTGCAGCATCCAGCGATCACCGCGTGCCGCTGCCGTGGCATCGCTGGTAAAGATCACTTGGCTCTGGGCAGGTCGCTCCTGTCCCTGTCCCTGTCCACTGCCACATTTTTGTCTAGTTGAAAGTGCAGGGTCAATCAGCATGAATCAATCACCGATGTAGGGAGTCCTTACCTGCTCGTATTCCATTCGATGTGATAGTTGTTTCGGTCTGGTGTGAATTTCGCTGCGCTCTCCAGCCACTTGTTGAGCTGGGTGGCGGTGGCTGGCTGCGTGATCCCCGTCGCTTCGTCCTCTGCAGTGCTATCCCGCAGATATTTCTCCATCATTTGGTGCTTGTACTTGGCCTTGCCCACCGGCACAGTGGGTAACATGGGAATGCGATGACTGCTGTGCTCCGGCATTGACATGTTTCCAGATTCTACGTAAAAGTTTGGCTTGAACACAGCTGTGGAAGCATTGTTTGCGTTGCCATCGCTGCCAGTACTGTGGCTGGACAGCTCATCGTCATCGTAGTCCCCATCATCATCATCTTCCCCCACGCATGGTCGCATCTCCTCCTCCCATATGCTGTCCTCCGATGAGATGCTAAATTGCTCGACATTCCCCCTCGCATTGTGGTTATAGTTCTTAATGAGATGACCCCAGGACTTTTTGGCCTTCTCCCGCTCCGAGTTCTTCAGCTTCCGCCGCCAGTTGGCAAACCAATTGCAGATCTGGGTGTATGTCAGGCCAGTCTCTCCTGCCAGCTGCTTCTTTTCCTCCCTGCTGGGATAGGGATTCTCCCTCCGCCGAATAAGCCAATCCTTCAGCATGCGCTTTATGTCTGGAGTGAACAAACGCTTGGCGGCTCGCATCGGCTGCTGCAGTTCATCCTCTGGTGGCCAGGCTCGTCTGCAAAACCCGTTTCGAATCAATTTGGATACTTTCCGATCAAATGACCTACCTGCTGTGGCGACGATTGCGCTTGGGTCGCGAAGACTTCTCCATAGATGGCCCGCACTCTGCAACTGCAAGTGGAGAGAACACGAATGAACGAATGATCTTGCAGTCCATTGCTCACGATAAAATAGTCAATCCAATCATTTAAAAATACTCTGTAAGTCAATTCAATTTCAAAACATTCGGTGGGTGGCGCTATTTCTGGCCGACGAATTTTCATGTTTTTTGGCTCTGTTGCTGTTTTCCTTGCTTTATATTTTCCTCTCAAATTAACGAAAAGAAACAAATATTTTGGCTTTGTCACGAGAACACGAGAACGAGAGAGGATGGTAGATGGGTCACCCGAGGGTGGGAGAAATGGCTAAATGGATATCACCGAGAGAAAGAGAGAGATTCTCCTATGAAGAAGAGACATTAAAATATGTTAACGGTCTGTCTACCAAACTCATAGCCTCTGAATATTTGTGTTCTGAGTAATTAGTTCACAGGTCACAGTTCTGTCTCCCGAACATCCCATCTCATCTCGGTTAAGCAATTCATTGATAAAATCAACGAATCATGTTTTTCAGCAGTCCAAACTGTACATACATATAGGTACTATATTTATACCTTTACGCTCTCCGCTCTACGCTTGAGTGTGACAATGGATAGGTCCATAATGTTTACGATTCTCAGCTAATTTTTCATGTTTGGGGCCCTTAAACATATATGCCACAATCTGCTCTATTCTCTATTTTGTGTTCACATGCAGACATGCAGGGGATGCATCAGTTTTGTTGACACTCTCAGATAATTGTGCTAACATTTATTATATAATCCTAATATAACAGCTAATTGCTTGTTTTCCAACAGAATTGGAAAACAAACTGAAATTTAAGTTGGATCCAAATCGAGGTGCAATTGGAAAGGCCACGCATTTAATTTGTTTCGCGAATAATATCTGCACCCACCTGTAAATTTGCAATTTGAATTTGAATTCTAATTGTGTTCTATTTGAGAATATGAATCCGACGGATGGTCAAATGTATCGCTCGTTGGACGTACTGGCGCAAACTGAACTCTCTCAAAAGTTTTCAAAACTGGCCGAAGATGCTTTTCGGCCAACTGAGAACCCAACACTTATCACACGAATGAGACTCTTTTAATCTATTTACAAAACACGACACGATACGACAATACCTATGCGCTTATTTTGAAATGATCGTAGTTCTTTCGGAATTCTTTGGTCGGTTCAGTCCAAAAACTACAGAGTATTCTCAGTGCACGATTTGCGAATCGAATTTACTTTCGCTTTCGATATAATTTTCACTGCTGCAGTATTCGGATGGGATGAGTCGGTGGCCATGACGTGAGTAAATATAAAGTGTGTCGCAAGTGGTGTTTGGAATCAACTTATCATCATTAATTTCCTCAAGTTTCTGACACATAACTTTTTGTATTTCTATAAAAATCTCGTGTTACGATGTTTGTGGTTGAACTGCTCACAAACGACTTGAACGTCGTATTTTTTAACTTCCTACCACTAACCACCATTTTTGAATCGGGAGTTTAGTATCAAGCTCATCCGAAAGTGCTGATTGGTGCAATGGACAAAGAATATCCCATTGTCATGAGCTCAAGATCAAACATGAGTCAGATGGTATGTGGGGAGACACTACCAGAACCATTGAATGACTTGCTCATTAACACGTATCCAGATTTAAAAGTGTTCCTGAAGTTCACAAGTTCACAAAGCGTTCGTTTCACTTTAACTTTCAGTAAGTCCATGCCCTTGAAAAGAAATGAACTAATGTTTTTGTTCAAATTCAAATTACATTCCCCGCCAAATAGAAAGAAAAAATATCGTTATTAATACGTTTACGGTATCTTTTTTTGGTATTTTCTGAAGTCGAAATTTGGGTGAGAAGGAATATTTTATCCATTTTTTGGTAATATAATAGTTATAGCTATTGGCGTTTTTTGGCAAAGCAATATCACGATATTAATATATTTTTCCCCGCTACGAATTCAGAGTGTGTTCGGGTCAGTCGTATTTTCAGCGGTTTAAGTGAAGTGGCTTACCTTTTTAAGAAGAAGTGGGTTAAGTGGGTTAAGTTCGCTTAACATGAGAATGTGAGCCCTGTACTCGCATGAACCTCACCTCGTCGTGTTTTGTCGAACAATATACCTTGAACATAAAATCGTATTAGGCAAAAGGGGGGATTTTACCTGGCAAGCGTTGCATTTTCTGAGCCATTTTGTCTGTTGTCCATACCTTCTTTATCTTCCCATTATGTAGCAAATGTGTAGTTACCGTGTAGTTGCTATGTAACCTGTAAAAAATTGAGCAAATGTAAACATAAAACGCATAAGAAACATTACATTGTTGTTTAGAACGTAATAGAGGAGATATTAAAAAAAGTTAACAAGAAAAGCCAATTGCACGGCAGCTATGAACGAATCTGTGCGCTATGACCGCTGTCAGCAGATTCAGTTGGGTGTCCTGAGCGAATCGCAGATGTCGGCAGGGGAGGAGCCGCCCCCACAGCCCCAGGGAACGGGTAACGTAAGTATTCTCTATTCTCTATTGTTTAACTGACTCATGATTTTGTTCTTGTTTTTACTACGTTTTTTCGCCTGCCTGCATTGTCTTTAATTTTAGATTCTGTTTACTCATGATGGGGTGCTGCTGAAAAAGGCCAGTGCCGAGCATATTTCTGACTTAAACACAAGTGGCTCCTTGTCCTTGGTGGAGTATACGTCATCGGAGCTGCCGCGCCGCCGTCTGTATCTGGAATGGCAGCCAAACGATAGCATCATGATAGCTGACGACAGCCAGGACCAGGGTGATTGGGCACTGGTGGACAGAATATCGGGGCGGAACCGCACTACCTCCGAGTGCCGCGCCTTCAACACAAAGCCCAGCGAGCCGGGCAACGGAACTGCATCCCGCGCGAGAATCATGAGGGTCCTGCTCGATGAACTAGATGCGGTCGAGGTTCGGCATCGCGGTCAGACCATACGGTTCATCCGCAAATCTGGTGGCGGAGTCCACAGCGAGTTCTTCTTTCAGCACGGCAACGCTGATCTGTTTGTGCGCTCCATGCGGGATCTTCACTTCATCGAGAGTTCCGAGACGACTCGTGGTGGCGAGGAATATGCCATCCTGACCACCGAGAATCAGAAGCTGAAAAAGACCTTTGCGGAACTGGACATCGGCGATATCAAGTCAAGTCATTTGCCGCGGGAGAGCTGGCTACCCAATAAGCTGGCTGGCTTCCTCGGCAACATTCCAGACTATGTTCAGCCGCCGTTCCAGCGCTCGCCGAAGTCGAGGCCGGGCACTTTGCTGAGTGGCGATCGTCAGACCTCGCCGGACAACTATCAGATAATTGGATTGAGTGGCAGCACCAACAGCGCCTGTTCATCGAACAGCCAGAGCCGCGGAGGTAGTGCGGACAAGTCACCAGCGGACAGCGAACTGGAGAACCTCAATGCTCAGGACGAGAAAATTGTCAACAACTTGCCGGATCGCCAGAGAGTGGAGCGAGGTTCGTTTTAAGATTTCTTGAGAAAATTGCTTAACTTGACTCCAATTCGATTATGTTTTTTTCCAGGTTTGCCTCTTACTGAAGCCCAGTGGCTGGAGTTTCAGACACCAGACGGGCGCATCTCGGATAGCGACCGAATCAAAGAGATCGTATTTCGCGGGGGTATATCCCACGCCCTGCGGTCCAAAGCCTGGAAATATTTGCTGAATTATTATCATTGGTCCGACACCGAAGCGGAGCGAATAGAGAGGCGCAAGCTGAAGTCGCTGGAGTACTACAACATGAAGGCGCAATGGCTGGCAATGACTACAGCACAGGAGGCAAACTTTTGCGGCTACCGTGAACGGAAGTGCCAAATCGAGAAGGATGTGAAACGCACCGATCGCTCGCTTCAATTCTTTGCCGGAGAGGACAACCCCAACCTGGCTCTGCTGCAGGGAATTCTCATGACATACGTAATGTACAACTTCGATCTTGGCTACGTCCAGGGGATGTCGGACCTGCTGGCGCCTATTCTCGAAATTCAGGGCGACGAGGTGGATGCCTTCTGGTGCTTCGTGGGTTTCATGGACATGGTATTCACCAACTTCGACATGGACCAGGCGGGCATGAAGAACCAGTTTGCCCAGCTGCGGCGCCTCATCGAGTTTGCCAATGCCCCATTGTTCAACTACATGCGCAGCCATGACTCCGACAATATGTACTTCTGCTTTAGGTGGCTGCTTGTATGGTACAAGCGGGAGCTGAGCAACGAGGATGTGCTCAATTTGTGGGAGTGCCTCTGGACACGTCTGCCCTGTCCCAACTTTCACTTGCTCTTCTCCGTGGCCATCCTGGATCAGGAGACAACTGTGATCATCGAGAGTCAATACGAATTCACTGAAATACTAAAACACGTTAACGAACTTTCGGGCCACATCGACGTGCAACGAACTCTGGAAATAGCCGAAGCCATCTATCTGCAACTGAAGGCATCCGAAACGCTGCCTAACGATATTCGCCTCATCATTGGAGAGCCTCTACTGCCGCCTGTTGCAGGTGAGGAGGCGGAGGAAGCAATAGACGAGGAGCCTGCCTACTCGGATGATGGCTTCGACGAACTGGTACCCGAGCCGACGCCCGAGGAGAAGCAACGGCAACAGGCCCTGCTGGAGGAGGCCTGCGAGCGCTCGCTCTTCCTGACATACCACTAACCTGGGTCGAAACTGGAAGGAAACCGGAAACCAAGCCAAGCCAAAAGCCAGCCCCTAGCAAATCATGCGCAAATTATCTTAGACTTTAAGACTCAAAGTTTACTACCGCATCGAAGCGAAGCGAAGTGCTTTAACTGCTGATACACAGATTTATATATTGTATATTATACATATTTGTACGTTTTGTATTTATTGTAAGTTCTTTCCAATCACCTCCCCTCCTCCCATTACCCCATACCCCATACCCCATTCATTGGCCAGAGCAATTAATCCCCCCAATAAGTATACCAAAACAAAGTTTTCAATTACGAGTAGATAGGACTTGGCTCGCACCCATCGAATGCTTGGGTAGATCGTTTTCGTTTTATCAAAATTCAACACGCAGCAGCTACTTCTGTTGCCCTTTTTTTAGTTTACTCAATTACTGTGAAAATACATACAGATAATACATCGAAAAGCGTAATATAATACATTCAAAATTGCCGCAACTTTGAGAAGGAAAGTCGTCTATCCTCGCTGTGCGAAGCTTTTAATACTTTAATGATGTACACAGCCAAAAAAAAAATTGCGGCGCGTACCTTGGGGAAAATGGGATCGGCGCAGTACCAACATTTCCATAATCGTGAGAACCCAGTATCTTACGAATGCCCATAGCCTAGAGATCTGGGCGCTATATTTTGGGCAAGCAAAGGGTCTGCTTTCTCAGGATCGGGAATATCAGGACTGACGATCGACATATTTACCAAACAGCCAACAAACATTGTAAATGTTTGGGGTGGCCCTTCGGAAAATGCTATGGCATTGTGTTGGACCTGGGCGACTTGAAATGGGATTAATTAGGATCAATGGCTTTGTTGGGTGTTGCTTATGTTATGTAAGGTTTTTATTGTAATGTTTGTTGCTGCGAATACCACTCGCTTTATGCAGGTCCCAATCAAGACTTTATACAAAATTTCAAAAAGTTGGTTTCATGTTCTCTCTATCGCTGTGTAATAGCACGGTAAAATTTCTCCGATCTTAGCTACAGCTTCGTAAACATTAGCGTAGAACTTCCGCACTAAAATCGTCGTTATCATTCCTTAATGCGTCGGCCAATAATGACCAGGCAATCACCGATCTTTATACCCAATTTTTCCAAACAACCTATTCTCAGGAAAGCTACTTTGGTACTTACCAAGGCGAACAGAATTTTCAGCACCTTAAAAAATGAAAGCTCGCTGCTTTATGATCTTAACCGGGTCCTGACGGAGTTTCCGGATGTGTACTCAGCTACAAACTCTTCACCCTGTCCATTGATTCTTCTTGCTTCCCCTCGATCTGGAAAGAATAGTTTATTATTCTACACCGTAGCAAGTCTGATGCAAAGAACTATAGAGGTATACCTAAGCTATCGGCTATTCCTGAAAAGTTATATAATGTTATATCCCCAGCTCAGCATTGATTTAAAAGGCGGGGATCAACTATACATTTATTAGAGTTCCCCTCGGTAATCAAAAAACCCCTCGAGTACTCATGTATACGGATGATAGTTAGCTCTGTGTCCAGTATAAGACCCCTATATAACAATGACTCTCTATATATACTGCCCTCAGTAAAAAGTGCAACAGGACCGTATAGAATCAGTCCACAAACACTTTTTACTTTTTGCTCTGTGCGGCCTCAACTGGCCTCGATCCTTGGTTAATCGAAGAAGGCTTGCTGTTGAGCCGCATAAACTTCACTAACTATATACCTTTGTCCTTTTTGTTTTGTAGATCGAATTATTCCTTGCATGAACCGTTTGGGGTCTTATGCTCCTCTACCATATAATATCAACTAGTAATTCCCATCCTTTTCTTAAATCACATATACTAGCATACCACTTGATGGTACAGTCATTGCATATCAGCGTCCAAATTGATATCTAAATATATCTAAGTTGTACTTTACCAGACGTTACATAATTTAAAACAATGAGAATACGAAGTTTGTTGTAATTTTTGAAATTTATTTTTTATATGTTTATTTGATTTATCATCAATATCAATATCAATAGTTGATGCTTGGTTGTTACTTGTTGCTGTAGTTGCTGTTGATTTTGTTGTTCTGCTGTTCTGTTATATTATTTATACTTTTAATTAAGATTTATACTCGTACTTACAATTAAGTATGCCATATATTATGCTGGTTGCTTGATCTGATCTGATCTACTCTGCTCTGATCCGCATCCGAATCCGCATCCGCTTCTGTTCTGTACTGCTCTTGTTGTCCGAATGGATTGTTCAGTGGAGTGCGGACAAAATAATTTCATAATTCTTTGTGTATCTTTCATGCTCAATGCGTATCGTGGCGATTCGACCACATTCTCATTTCCGTCAATTACATTAAAATTGGTTTAATTAAAAAGTTCTATTTTTCTTTCAATAAACATTGTTCATGCTAGTTTCTTTCTTCTTTCATATCTTTTTGTTTTTAGTTACGCGCCTGATCGGATGATCGGGATCGCGTCGGATCTTTTTGGAGACACACGACACACAAAATTGCGATAAAAAACATACAAATTACAAATATAAAATTAAAATCTAGGCATGGATTCCTTTCACTAATTACACGAATTAAAATAATAATTATACAAATTACACGCAGGACAAGAGACAAAAGATACGACGGTACAGAGAGGGCGGGCGGTACAATACAACATAGTTATGGGGCGGGGGGGTTAAGAATTATGGAAAATGATTCAGTTTGAGAATACACGGTGTCTGTCTTACAATCTTAAAAACGTTAAGCAATGCGAGAGCCATTTCATAGGGGGATTGGTTCATAAATTATTTACAGGTATCATCATTATCATCATCATTATATAGTATAAACTTTCATGTGTGTGAGGACAGCGCAGCAATGCGAGAAACCCAAGTGTGGAGTCTGTATAGATCTATGGATATACATACATATTATGTGTTTGTTGTGTGTGGATCGATATGATCTGCATCGCTGGTCTAAGATCTAAACATTACTTCAGCTTCAGCTTTCGCTTTGCTTTCTCTGCTTATCGGCTACGTGTGTTTGTTGCAATAATTTACGGATAACGGATAATCTTTATGCAGCATGCGGCAGCACTCTGCTTCTCGTTACAATTAAATTATAAGCGCTTTTTAATATACTCGTAACTTTATGGATATTTACGCATATGCTGCCGGGGGAATCAATCAGATGTGAATGGGAATGTGGCTGTGGCTGTTCTGTTGCGTGGCGCGTACGTAATGATCCCAGCACCGCTTGGTGCTCCAATTTTTGCAGCAGTTGGAGCACTTCATCGGCGGAACCCTTTGCACATCCGCGAATCGCATGGCAAATCAGCCACCATTCCATTTATTTGAGGCTCTGGCTCTGGCCATCAGTGCGGGCGGGGTTGCAGCAGTGTCCGCGACTGCCGGGCAGAGCCAGTGGTTGCAGCAGCAGTGATCCTCCAGCAGTCTTCCTCCGACTGCAACAGCAGTTGCTCATTCCTCCTACGTTCTAGATCTATATATAATATATATATGCTTCCTTATACTTTACACAACTTTAAGCTTAAGGGGTCTAGTGGTAACAGATAGCCTAGAATTCAATTTTCGGCGCGAGCGACGCAATCGAGCTTTTTGATCAGCGGACGAGGCGGCGGCTATCTCTTCAGCTTCAGCTTCGGCTTCGGCTTTTGCTCCGGTTCTGGTCTGCTTCTGCTTTTCCATCTTCTTATCATTTATCTTTATATTCTTCGTGATTATTATTTTCTTCTTCCTCTCCTTGGGGTTTTGTCGTCTAGTTGTGGCCCCCCTTTCGGGGGCCCTTTCGTCCTGCTAGCGCGTTCGCTCAGATCTCCGCAATACTCATTCGTTCCGGTCCTCCGATTCGCTGCCCGCCGACAGGTTCAGCGTAGCGGCATCCGCCGACTGGCGCGTATGCCGGGTGGACCGTAGTTCGCGCCGCTTCTCGGGCGGCTGTTCCATGGCGGCCGCCTGGTCGTTGCCAGAGCGTGGTCGCTTCAGGCGATTGGAAGACCGGCGATTCTCCTCGGCGGCCGCTGCAGCAGCCGCGGCGGCCGATGATGAGGATGAACCACTGAGGTTGGCCGCCGATGTGTTGCCAACAGCATCGAGATCCTCGATACTGCCGCCGTGACTGCTTCCGGGTGCCGCTGGCTTCTTGAGTATCGGCTGGATGATCAGCTCGTCGGCCTCCTCGTAGGGTGGCGGTAGCTTGGCGGCATCCGCCGCATTCGTGATGGTCAGGGATATGCGGGACTCTGAGCGTTCGGAGCGCTCGCTGCTTGTGCTGGCTCCACTGCTGATGGGCGGCGCTATGGTGATGGTAGTCTGCGACGGCAGATTGGCCGCCAGGCCAGCAGCTGCCGCGTTCGATGAGGAGGATCCTCCTCCGCCAGAGTTTAGGGGCGTCAGGGTCACCTTGTCCTGCTCCACGGACATGGGAGCTGGCGTGGAGCTGCTGCTGGAGCTGCTGCCCGCCCTCAGGCTCTTCTCAATGCTGCTCATGCTGGCCCCCAGATTCAGCGGCAGTCCGGCAGCCAAGGCGGCGGCGGCATTGGCCAGCTCCTCCTTCGTGTGATGCATCTCGCTGCGGGATCGCTTCGACTTCTGTTGCTGCTGTTGTTGTTGCTGCTGCTGTTGTTGATGGTGTTGCTGCTCCGCGTCGAGGGCAGCGGCATAGGCAGCAGCCGCCGCATTGGCCGAACTGCTGGAGCTGCCGCCCGACGAGGACGTAGGTATCAGCGATATCCCCGATCCCAGACCCAGGGTCTTGGTGTAGTAGTCCATCTGTTGCTTGAAGGCATCCTGCTCCCGCTGCCGCTTCGATGCAGAGGAGTTGCTGTTGCCGCCGGACGAGCTGTTGCCCTGGGATCCTCCAGTCAAACCCGCGAGTGAGGCCAACGATCCGGGACCACTCAATGGCAGGGACCCACCGGCCGCCGCCATCGCCTGGGCGGCCATCTCAGCGAGGAATGCCTGCGAAAAGTCGCTTGACATTCCCGGAATCTGTGGCAGCTGTGCGGCTGCCGCAGCCGCCGCCGCTGCTGCAGCTGCTGCTGCATTCGAGGCGGACTTGGAGCTCTTGCTGGACGACGAGTTGCCCCCTCCCGAGGATGAGGACGTGGAGGGCATCTTGCCCTGTGAGAAGGCCTGCAGTGCGGCCAGATCCGTGGGCAGGGCTCCGCGTGCAAGGCTCTCGAACCACTTCTGCTGCTCCTTGGCTGCCATCTTCTCCGCCTGCGCTGCGGCATTGGCAGCGTTGGCTTCGTTGGCCGCGGCGGCAGCGGCCGCCCGCTTGCTGCTGGCACTCGAACTGCCGCTGCTCGAGGGCGTCGGTAGCGGTGGCATCCCCAGGGAGCTCATCAGGCGCGTGGCCTGGGCCAGATCCATGCTGCTCATCCGGCTGAGCGACTCCAGCAGATGGGGATCCGCTCCAGGCATCAGGAGGCTGCTCAACTGGGCCATGTCCGCCGCGGTGGGCGTCGCCTGGGCATTGCGGCTGCTCGATTGCCTGCCGCGTCCCGAACTGGAGCTGGACGGTGTCGTCACGGTGCTGGCCACATTCTGGCCACCGCTCATGCTGGCCATCGCATTCATCAGATTGGCCGCCGAGTTGGAGGCGGCGGCATTCGCCGCAGCCGAGGAGTTGCGCGAGTTGCTCGACTTGGACTGCGACTGGTGCGACTTGGACTGCGTCGAGGAGGTGTTGGCCGCCGACGAGGTGGCCGCCACTCCGTTGAGGAGGTTGTACTGCTGGGCCAGCTGGTCGTAGGCCGAGCCGAGGCCACTCGATCCCAGGGAGTACGGATTGAGGCCACCCAGCCCCATGGGCGGGTACAGCAGCGACGGGTTGGGGAAGAGGAACGGAAAGCCGGCGGCCAATTGGGATGCTTGCGATGCTGCCGAATTCTTGCCCCCTTGTCCTCCTCCTCCGCCGCCGGATGAACCACCGCCAGCATTTACTGCTGCAGCGGCTGCTGCCGCGGCCGCCAGTTGCGCCGCCTCGCTCTGCTGCTGTTGCTTCTTCTTGCTGGACGAGGAGGAGTTGCCGCCTCCGCCACCGCCGACCTGCGACTGACTCTTGCCGGAACCCCCGCCCGAGGTGCCTGTGAGGCCCCCCAGGGTTGGCCCAGCAGCAGCCATGAGCGCAGCCAGCGAATTGGCGTCCATGCCCGCCAGATTTCCCAATCCTCCCATGCCCGCGAGGCTGGCAAACAGATTCATGTTGTTCAGATTGCCCAATCCGGGCAGATTCGCCATTCCAGGCATGCCCCCGAAGGGCATCGACAGCAGCGGATTCTTGGGGTCAAAGGCCGCCAGGGGATTTTTCGGATCGAAGCCTCCCAGTCCCGGCAGATTGGCCAACAGACTGGGATTGAGCCCTGCCAGCGAGCTGAACTGCAACGCCGCCTGATCCAAGGCAGCCGCCGCAGCCGACTGTTGACGCGACGACTTCTTCGATTGGCTCGATTGATTTCCAGCCGACGATTGAGCGGCACTCTGCTGCTGCTGTTGCTGTTGTTGCTGCTGCTGCTGTTGCTGCTGTTGGTTATGGGACGACGAAGAGGCGTTGCTGGAATTGGAAGAGGGTCGACCGCCATGCGACTTCACAGCCGGCGAACCATAGCTGTCCATGGAGCTGGGTTTTGGCGAGGGCGCAGACATGGGATTCTGCATTTGTTCGAGCCATTTGGGATCCACCTCATAGTTGGGATTGTCCGTGAGCCTATAGAGGAGAAGATGCAGGGATTAATGTGGGAATCCAAATAGAGAGAGGACAATTCAAAGTTCCCATAAGCGAGAGGCAATGCTAGGGAGTCTGATCTGATATTGACATTCTGCCAAGAGCCCTTACCATTGCATTAGTCGTTTCAGTTGCGGCGCCTTGTTGCCGCCCAGACGCTTGCCCGTTTGCTTGTTTATCACTGGCACTGGCTCCTCTCCCGTGAGGTTCTGTGGCCCTGCCATCGACTGCTGTTGCTGCTGCTGCTGTTGTTGCTGCTGCTGTTGCTGCTGCTGTTGCTGCTGCTGTTGTTGTTGCTGCTGCTGCTGTTGCTGCTGTTGTTGCTGCTGCTGCTGTTGCTGCTGCTTTTGGAGCTGTGCCGCACTTGCAGATTGCTGGGAGCTGCCGCCGCCGCCTCGATTGGAACGGCGACTGTTGGAGGAGCCACCAGCACTGCTGTTGCCACCGCCGCCGCCACCACCACCGCCGACATAGTCAATGCTTAGCTGATCGCTCAGTGGACTGGTCATGTCCGAGAGCCATTTGTTGACCTTGGTGTCGTGGGGGGAGTTGGAGTACTTGGAGCTGAGCTTCATCGCCTGCTCCATTTCGGCGAGCATGTTCTCGTAGGCCTTGCGCTGGGCAGGGGGCAGGAATTGCATCATCTTCTGCTGTTGCTTGAGGAACGTCTGCGGATCGGTGGCCATTGTCTGTGCGAGCAAGGCATTCAGGCTGTCCTTCGACGACAGTCCTCCCATGGCCATGTTCTGCAGGGCGCTCAAACCTCCGCCGCCGCTGCTGCCCGAGGAGCTTGCGCCGCCGCCGCCTCCGGATGATCCGCCCTTGGACTCTGTAGAGAAGAGAGAGAGAGAGAGATTTAGGAGATTAGTCGAGGGATTCTATGGAGTGGCGCTGGGGGCCCAATTGTAAAAAAGCAATGCGCAGAGACTCAAACTCACTTCCGGGCACTGTGGTCACAGTGATGGTGAAGGGTTTCTGGTTCGATTGCTGCTGCTGGCTGGACGAAGATTGCATATTGGCAGGCGTCACCGAGACGCTCGGCGGAATCTGGGGCTTCTTCGAGGATGGCAACGATGGATCCGGGAAGGTCTTTTGCTCCTTGGCAGCCGAGAGACCCAAAACGATCTCATCCAGCTTCTTGCGCTTCTTCTCTTTGCCGATCACTGGCTCCTCAATGGTCTGGAAGGAAGAACAGAAACAGGGTTTGTGGGTGTTTTCTTTTGCTTTTGATTTAATCAACTGTTCGCTTACGCAATTATTCTTTTTCATCAACTTGTTGAGCGTATCATCCAGCTTGCTCTTGCTGCCACCCATCGAGGAGGGGAAGGCGGAGCTTAGGGCCGCATGGACACTGGACTTTCGCGAGGGCATGGAAAAGTCCTGCACTTCACTTAGATCAATGGCCCCCGCACTGGAGGCGGACTTGAGCATTTCCGTCATGTTCATTTTGGGTAGACTGCTGCAGGGGCGCGGGTGACGGGGGGGAGAGATTGGATTAGTTATTTCTTCTGTTGGAAACAGAATCTGTGCGATCCTCACCTTGAGGACAGATCCATGGGTGCCCCCATGGATGGTGGTGGCGTCTTCATTGCCGGCACAGCGGGCTTGCTGAATTGCCCGGACGATTGCTGTCGCGAGAGCGAGGTATGCTGATGCGCCGGCGGCGGTTGCATGCCACTCAGGGCAGCCGAGGAGGATCCTCCGCCTCGTCCACGTCCAGAGCCAGTGCCAGTGCCTGTCAAAGCCTCCATGTTGGCTATTTCACTCTCCCAATCTTTTGGTGCCACTGTAGAAGTGGAAACGGCGTAAGTATGCGGCATAAGAATGGAATCGAATATAATGACTTACTTGTTGAGCTGTTGAGCAGGGCGTGCAGCTTTGCCCGTTCCGTCTCCACGTCGATGGCGATGTGACGCTTGCGCTTCTTGCCAGCGCTGGAGGACATGCCACTGGGGACATTTAAGCCGCCACCGACGCCGACACTGCTGGAGCCTCCTGAGGAGCCGGTGGCTGCGCTCAGGGACATGCCTGGCAGCAGGGATGACAGCGACGTGGGATTCCCACCAGACGCTGCGGCGGCCACAGCGGCAGCCACTGCCGCATTGATGCTATTGGCATCGAGACCGGGCAGCGTGGGCGTGTGCGTATGCGCCGTCGACTGCTTCAGGGATGATCCAATCCCCGAAGAGGGTTGTCCCCCCGCGGTGGAGCTGCTGATGCTGCTGCTGGCAGCCACATTTGACAGCTGCATTTGCGATGCCTGCAGATGCTTCGTGACGCCCTGATCCGTCGTGATGGTGATGACATCGGGTGTGGTCGAGCGTCGCCGCTCTACGCTGTTCATCAGATGGGGTATCGACTCGTGCAGGGCGATGTTCAGATCGGTGGCACCCTTGCAGCTGGCGAAGGCACTGTACTTGCTGTCCACCGGCCACTTGTTGGCCTCCACACACGTGACAATGTGGGCGATGCGGCGCTCCAATGCGAAATCCTTGAACCAACGAATCATGCACATCTCCAGCTTCGGTTTCTCGAGCTTCTGCTGCTTAACGGTGGCGGGCTGGATGACCTCGAGATCGGGGAAGCGGGCCTTCAGTTCGGCGGCCTGCTTCTTGCACTCCTCCTCGACGGCCTTCTCCTTCTCCTTCATCACCTCATCGTCGTCGGGATCGGTGGGTGGGCCGGCGGCTACCAGATCCAAGATTTCCTCCTCGCTTGCTGGCTTCTCTGTCGCCTTTTTGGGCGTGACTTGGTTAGTATTTTCTGCCTCTGCCACATCCGGTGTTGGGGTTTTCTCCGCTGAAGCTTCCGCCTCTTCGGCAGGCGTCTCCTTCTCCTTCTTCTCCTCATTTTCATTTTCCTTGTCTTTGTTATCGGTTTTGTCTTCTGTTGGCTCTTCAGCAGAGGTTTCTTCTTCCTTTTCGGAGGAGAGCTCCTTCTCTGGGGATGATTCCACGGCAGGAGATTTCGCCTTCTCCTCTGTGGCAGCCACATCTTCAGTCTCCATTTTAGATGTTTTCGTTTCCATCTCCTCTTCCATGGATTCGGGTTTTTCCTTGGCCTCTTCGCTGGCTTTAGATTTCTTCTCCTTCTCCTCCGCAGATGTGGACTCTATGGATGCATCCTCTGCCTCAACTTCTGGTGATGTCGTCTCTTCTTTCTCCTCTCCATTTTCGGCTATCGGCTCATCCACTTCCATTTTCGCTAGGTCTTCGCTGGATTTCGACTCGTCTGTGACTTCTGCAGCAGATGCATCCTTCCCCGCTTCGCTGGACTTTTCCTCTGCGTCTGCGGAGAGGACTTCCTTCTCTGGAGAGGACTCTGCCTTGACTGTATCTGTATCTTCATCCTTGATTTTGGACGTATCTTCCTCAGTTTCCTCTGCAACAGACGCTGCCTCTGAGTCTTCGCTCTTCTTTGCAGAGGCTTCCGTTGGGGATTCAGGTGTTTCCTTCTTCTTCTCGGGGCTCTCCTCCTCCGCCTTGACCTCATCTTTGACGGGCGTAGTGGCGGGAGTTGCCTCCTTTTTGATTACACTCTCATCGGTCATCAGTTCATCGTCCAAGTCGATCACCTCGTTCTTAACAGCAGTCGCTGCTGCTGCTGCTGCCGCTGCAGCCGTTGCTGCTGCTGCCACCGCCGCTGCTGCCTTCTCTGCCGCGGCCAGCTTCTCCGCATTGAAGGCCTCCAGCTTAATGGTGCGCTGAATCTGTGCCTCCAACTCCCGGATGAAACGCTTCTCCGACTCGCAGAAGCTAAAGTTGGGATCATTGAAGATGAACGTCTCCGAGCGATACAGTCCGTGCTTGAGCACTGCTGCAATCAGTTCCTTGTCGTGGCGGCCCGGCTCCCACCAGTCGGGGGTGTCCGCATTCATGGCGCACATCTTGAGCCGCTCCTCCAGATGCGGATGTCGCGACACTTCGCGCAGCTTCCCGAGCAGCTCCAGTCGGTCCAATATGAGCTTGGCATGCTCCTTCTCGATCTCCTCAATGATGCCCTCTAGTCCGCGCTCCGATTCGCTCAGCTTGAGCCCCGCCTGGCGCTTGCACATGGCCACAAAGACCTTGTAGTAGTCCGTCAGCGTTTCGTCGCTCTTGCGCTCCAGATGGGCCATTTGTTTGAATTTTGTCCAATCGGGACTGAGGCTGCTTCCACTGCCTCCCATGGGTGTGCTCAAATGCAAATCCACACCGTAGCCGGTGAGAACGCGCAGGAACTCGTACTCCTCGCGGCGATTCCATTTCTTGGGAATGAGCTGCAGTCGCTGGGCCTCGCGCTCCTTGGCCGCCATCTCCATTTTGCCCTGGCGTTCCATTTTCTAAAAGAAAAATAAGGAAAATTTATTAGTTTAGAATCACCAGAAGAGGGATTTCCGGTTTAGTATGGGAGTGTATGGGAGTGGGTTAGGGATCGTACGGAAGATAGTGATGTAATTTTACTTTGTTAACCGTTCCATGACTCAACAGATTAGACGGGATGCCTAGGCCCCTCGTCACACAAGCAAATTCCAGTCTCAAACCAAAGATAAGATATTTCTTATCTATAGACACCTTTCCTTCTGATATGATGATATTTATTCCCCCCAATTCCCATTTCAAATGTGCTCTTGCCACAAGAACTTTTTTTGGGGCGATACTTCTAATTTAATAAACAATATCTCGGATCTTTTTAATCTGCTGGAGTACAGTGGAAAATATTCAAACAACTATTTCGAATCAGTAGAGGAAATATGGAGGGGGACTAAAATCTTCCATTTTCAAGTGCAAGGACCCTCTTCCATTGGCTAGAGTGGGACAACTAGCTATGCTATTCCCACTGCTCCCATTATGCTCCCTAACGGGATCTATTACTCCTCTCCCTTCGCGGTATCTTTCTCTCTCCGTCTCACTCTTTTGTGTTACCTCCCCAGTTCCAGTTCCATGCATTCCTCCGATCTCCGTCTCTAGGCCCCTCTCGTCTTTTTCCCCTTCGCACTCGCTCGCTCTTTCAACTGCACGTTCATTCGAACTCGAAGAGTCCCTTGCAAGCTGTGTGCATGTGCATATGTAAGTGTGTGTTAATCTCTTTAAACCTATAGTGTTTTTAGGGGAATTTCGACTCCGCACAGTTAGTACTCTGTTAGCACAGAAATCATGATTAAATGTTTTCAAAAACTTAACTCAAAAACTACTGTAAATTTAATGGCTTTATATTTTCAAATACATCAATTATTAATAAATTCAATAAAAAGTGTAGAAAATAAAAGACTTTATTTATTACTTTAAGTAATCGTAAATATTATTAAATCATGGGCTGCATATCTTTCAATAACAATAAATAATAAATTCCACAAAATTATAACTACATATTTCCATTTCAATTATTCCCCTCCCTCAATTATGGGAATAAAATAAGTCCATTTATCAAAATAGATTGCCTCAGATACGAGCGAGTAGTCGTACTCTTCTCGTATTATCTATACAAAAAACAATCCCCCACAATTCCATGAAATTATCCCACAGTTGTCGAGCAACGTGTATGCATGCATTGGATAAATTATTGTACCCACACTCACGTCTCCCTTGGAAACAGCACCCCATCCCACCAGCCACCCACCAACGACCAACGACGTATCCATCCGGATGTGATATGTACATTTTGCAAGTGCAAATTCATTACGAATATTTACACAATTTCGAAGGCAAAAGAAGAAAAAGGAATTAAAAAGCGTCGTCGTCCACCAGGAACCGAACCGAACAGAAGCCTTTCTCTCCTCCGCCGCCGCCGCCGCCGCCCCTCACGTAATGCGAGACGACCCCCAGAGGGGTGGGTGCTTTGCTGCTTCTGCCGCTGGCTGCTGCTGCCGATGGTGGTGCTGTTGCTACTCCTGCTGTTGGTGGTGTGTAGGGGGGTGTTCCTTCCAGGGCAGACACTCATCACCATCATCTATACCCCTTCGGTGTATCCCATTCCCATCCCTCCCCTTCGGTGACTGCCGCCTGGCTTTTGAATTACAATTTTTGCGAAAAAGCAAAAACAAAATGCGAATGGCAAGCCCAAAAGCAAAAGGCGGAAAATGAAAATGAGAGAGGAGAATGCACACAACAGAGAGCAGCGGAACAGAAAACACAGAGACAATGGAAGAGAGAGAATGAGAACGTGCGACGATGGCTAAATACGAACAAACTGAAACTGGAAATACAATAAAATCATAATAATAAAAGTAAAAAATCCATTTTACACCCCTAATAACGCTCCGCTCTGGCTCTGGCTCTGGCTTTGGCTTTGCTCTAACGGGGCAGCGCGAGGACAGAGGGCACGGGCACAGGGCACAGGGCAAAAGGCGACACAGCCATGAGCTGAGCACGAGGCACGAGGCAAGAGGCAGCCATGGCGCGCACACACACCCGGAGACAAACAAATGAATCCTGCGAGACCAATTGCACGGGGCCGACGCCGCACACAACCCGTAACGGAGCGACGACGACTCTCCAGCACACACACACACACACACTTTCAAGAGCTGGGTCTCCTCTATACAATACATATTCATGTACGTATAGATGTACGTGTACGTGTTGTCTTCTCCTAGTTAGTTATGATAATAATGGGTGCCCAGGAAAAGTCAGTAGCATCGCAATACACAAAATTGCAAAAGGGGCTCTCCTCTGTCCGCTCTGTCTCCCAAGTCCAAAGGAGAAGAATGCCTCCCCCCCCCCTGCCCTACTCTCCGCTCCTTAACAGACAGATACCGGAACGAGAAACTACGTATACAAATGTCGTAAGGCAGAGCAGAGCGCGAGGCGAGGCGAGTGTGAGAAAGAGCAGCGTACCGGGCAAGTGTTGCCAGGTTGTTGTTGTTGCTGCTGCTGCTGCGGTGTGTGCCCATCTCAACTAATGTGAAATCAAAGCCACAACTAAATGCAAGCCAAACACACAGCTAGACGTTACAGTGGAACCTCCCACGAGAGGATATTGTGTTAAAGTGAAGGGGCCAAAGGTTCCTGAATTTTATAAACATTTCCATACTAGTTTGTTCCCGTAGCACCTACAGTGGCCCAATTCGATATTTTCTAATAGAGATTGAATTCAATTCTTTATAAACATTGCGCATAGTATTGTTTTATAGTTTGTTCATTTTTCTTCTTAGCCAAGTTCTACTGTGGTTTCGTCTTTGCATATTCAAGTGTTTGTTTGATAGTTTATGTGCGCATACGTATGTTTGTGTTTGTGTTTAGGGTCTCCTTCTGGTTCTGCTACTGCTGCTGCTGCTGCTCCAAAAGGATGCCAAGTGTGGCGCACGGGCTGGCAACCCTGTTCGCCTGTTTCTGTTTATACAGCTAACGGCTTTTTTACTACAACAAATTCCCCCTGCCCCTGCACCTGCCCACTACCACCCACCTATCCATTCTCCCTCCCCACGTATCCATTCCACACTCCTTGGCGGAGGCAGAGGCAGAGCCAGTGCCAGCCGCCAACGAATGAACAGGAGAAACGAAATCCGAAAAGGGGGACAAACAAAAACAAACGACAAAGCGCAGAACCAGATAAAGAGACTCTCGGAGACCCTCTTCGCCTATCTATCTGCGTCTCGCTTGCGCGCACACAAACACTTTGCTCTGCTCCCCCCGCCAACCGTTATATCGCTGTCGTTGTCGCTCGTCGTCGACGTCGACGTCGTCTTCTGCATTTACACGATACTACAAGTGCGAGCGATTGATTATGATTATTAGTGGGGAAACGAAAACGATGGCGGCTTGACTTCGACTTCGACTTTGACTTGGAACTGGCCGTAGGAGAATCGCTGGCGAGGCGGTGGCAGAGGTATGGAGGTATGGAGTGGGAGGCCAACGGGGGTAAAACGAATTTAAATGAGCGCATTGCTAGTGCTAGAGTTGGAGGTGTATGTATATGTTAGTGTGAGAGTGTAGGTTTAGTTGTCTTCTTCTTTGGCATGCATGTAAGCTGCTGCTACACACATGCTCCTTTCTGCTCCTTCATACTGGACTCCGACCACCCCCCTCCCACTCCCACTCCTTGAAAGCGCCATAGGCATAGTACGTTTATTGTTTGCTCCGTTACATTTTTTTTTCGTTCAGTTACCAGTTTCCATTCCCCTTTGCATTCTCTTTCTAATTAAGCGAGACAGAGTGGAGATGCCCCATGCAATAAATTGTCATTCCGCTTTACCTCCAAATAAATGCCATTTCCATTGTTCAGGCAGGGAACCGTAGTAGTTGTTGTTGCTGTGGCTGTGACTGTTGCCGCTGCTGCTGCCGATGCTGATGCTGCTGCTGCCACAGAAGATTTGTTGAGATGCTCGCAAAACGCAGAGAAGCTGCTAAAGTCCATGGGTTTAATAACCTCCATTTTGTACGGACACCGCCTATATCACAAGTATCACAAGGAGAATTGATATCGAATGTGGTTTGCTCGATTTTATGGTCTCGTCATGATTATTGATTTTAATTAAGCACTAATTATCATTCAATTCGTTTCGAGGAGACAACTATGGACTATGGAGAGAGCACGTTGTCAATTACATTATTCCATTCCGTTTGATTATTATGATTATTATATCTCTCTCTCCCACAAACAGGCACACACAAACACACACACTTATGGGTACGAACACACATATGCAAAGGACAGAGACAAGAAGAGTTTTGCGTTCGCGTTCCGTTTCGTTCTCGTTTACCGCCGTTCCTCCACGGACGAGCACTTGGACTTTTTACAACTTTACACCGCGGCGCTCAAACAAATAATGAGCGAGCGCATTGCGGACTCAAATACAAGAAACACTTCTCACACACAGACACACACAGGCACACATAAACAACCATACAGTCACATCAAGGCGCGTACGCGCACGGAAGCAGCGACAGCGGCAGCGGCAGCTAAAATCGAATGCGAATCAGCCAAAACCAAGCCAAGAGCCAGATACAGATACAGAGAGCCGCCGCCGCACCGCTAGCAGCTAGCCAGACTCGAAAGTATTGAGTGAGGAGAGCAGAAAAACCAAACAATCGTGAGATTAAGCCAAACGCCGTTTTGGGTGAATGTGAATATGAATGAGATGGGCAGCGCAGGCGGCAGCAGGCAGGCACAAGCCTGTCGTCTGAGTCTGAGGTGAATGAGCGGCAAGCGTCACTTGCAACAGCCAGAGCGGACGAGATAGAGAGAGCAATAGCAAGCCTCAATGAGAGCCGAAAGTAGCGAGAGAGCCAAGCCAGAGGGAGAGAAGAAACCAAGAGAGAGCCACAGCGAGCATAAGTGTGAGTGAGTGAGTGTGCACTGGATGGACGAGTTGAAGAATGAGGAGGCAAAGCAGCAGCAAGCACCGCATTGTGTCAACTGTGTAATGTAAGCAAAAGAAGGCAGAGCCTGCACACATACACGTGTACGCTGGAAGGGGAGCGGGAGCTATGCGCGGGGGGAATAAAACATATCACACGGCAAAAAAAAAAAGGCAAAGCAATGAAACAAATGTACCACAAAAACACTGTTGAGGAATAAAGAGCGAAAGAGCGAGCATAAGAGAAGAAGGTGGATAGAATGGGGGATGGGATGGGAATGGGGAAGGAGCACGGGAACGGAGCGACGGCTGCGTCTGATGTTCGGTAATGACGGGAGTGGGGAGGGGGAAGGGAGACGCAGGACAACACTCAGCGGAAAAAGGGATAAAATGAAATAATAACCAAACAGAGAGAATCAGGCAAAAAGGCGAATCCATGAAAATGGATTAAGAGCCGCAGGTACAATGGGTGTGTGTGTGCCAGAAGAATGGTGACTGTTCTCGGAATTATTCCGCTTAACTTGTCCATATATGACAAGAGTGTATGTGTGTTTGACTGCCCCTTCGATTATTGGCATTTTGCAATTGTTTAATTAATTCGACCTTTGGCCAATCTACATGCACACGAATCTCTGTCTCTTTCAGAGAAAGAGTGTGAGAAACTCAAGCGAAAGATGGAAACATGACTAAAGTGCGATAAGCACGTAGTCAGAGCAAAAAAAAAAAACGAAACGAAACGAGATTATTAATCAATCCGTAAGATAAAGATATACAGATACACACACATTTGTATGCATAAGTATATTTGTATATCCACCACCATCACCACACAATCGATGCAATGGCGACACATCTTCAGCAAATGCACTTACTCACACTGACACATACACATGCATGCATGATCAGCGATGGCAGCGCGAGGGAGAGGTCTGATGCACGGTTCTCTATCGTAAATTTGACTAAAGCGTAACACACAAACTAAATCGGAAAGAGAGAGAAACAGAAAAGAGGCAGCATCAGCAGGTAGACACACGTATTGATGGACTGACTGACAGACTGGCGACTGACCATGCGGCACAGTGGGTACTGATGCTGAGGCAACGGCGACTTTTCCCAATGTTTTACGACTGACAGGTGTGAAAGAAGTGAAAAATGCGCTGACGCAGCAGCTGCATTCAAACGAGATGATGCGACGACAGCAACACGTGATGCGCACGCGCACAGTGGAACAAAATGTGCAACATACGTGCGGGATCAAGAAAATTGTATATTTCCAAAAATTGAATAACAAGGAGACATTTTTCTTGGAAAGACAGGATTTGGGATAACAATATACTCATGTATAGGAAATATCGAAAAATGGCATTGGTGGAATAACATTTTATTACAGAAGTCCCAATCACGACTTTTGACCAAAGTCAACTAGTAGTTTTTCACATTCCACATTTTATGTATGTACATATCCAACCTGTACCACTGTGCACAGCAGCAGCAACGCCAAATGCTAATAAAATAATAAATCGAATGGCAGCAACAGCGACAGAGACAGCGCAGCAACAGCGCTGCAGCGTCAGCGGTCAGCAACAAAAGCATCCAAGCAAATCGAAGGTGGGCTCGGCTGGGTTTCCAGCCAAAGATTGGCACAAAAAAGAATAGCGCAAAGCCATGCACACACACTTAAGCATACAGCGCAAGAGAGCGAGAGAGAAAGAGATCTATGCCTGTGTTCTAAATACACGTTGCAAATGCAAAAAGGAATCAGAAAAAAATGCTTTTAAGCTGCGGCTGCAGTGTGAGAAGGAAGAAAGGCCTCTTGCGAATAAAAATAAAAATAAGCATAACGAAACGAAAGCCAAGCAACGACGAGTGGAAGGGAGATGAAGATGGGAGCTCAAATGAGCACAATTAGGCTGCTTTATCGAAACGCCTGCGGCTGGGGCATGCAGAACAGGAACTGAACAGAAACAGAAACCGAAACGGAGACAGAAACAGGAACAGGTCACCGTCACCACACACACACACACACGCAGACAGCCAGAGCCAAGTCACATATTCCGCTCAATAATTCAGTTCGTGAGAGCAAAAGAGAGTAGCACAGCCTCATCCGCTGCTTTTGGGTGGGCGCACACGAAAAAAAAAAAAATTAAACATTGGATAAATCCAGAAAATGTAAAATTACACTCACACACCGAGAGAGTGAGAGAGAGAGACACTCGCATGGAAAACTAATACACATACAGGGGCAGGCGGTGGCGGTGGCGGCGGTAAGTACAGCCAAGCCAAACGTGTAGCGTAGCTAGGCGGCAGGCAGCAGAAACCACCCGACCCGATATCGAATACTCAACGACCAGACGTCGTCGTCCACCAACGCCGCCGCAACAATCATCGTCACCAAAGAAGAACTTCACTCGTCAATACAACAACAGGAACAACAACAGCATAGCAAAGCAAGAATAAGAGCAGCACGAAAGGAATGCTGGTTTCGGGTGCCGAAGCTTTAGATACCCTATACATCCTTTCTCTGATGTGGTCATTCGATGTTTTTGTAAACTTCGCTGACTAATAGGGGGAAATAACATTTTTAATGATTGCCTGGATTATCTTTGTTTTTCAGCTGATATTTTCTCCGCTAACTTGACCAACTGAGATATTTTTTCCCTGCTTTGCCAACATCTGGTCAACTATACCCTATACTCCCTCAAGGGTATACCAAGAGCTGGCTTTTTCTCTTCTTGCTGCTGGCTGCGACTGCTCTTCTTCTTTTCCTACTCTTAGTGCTGTTGTTCTTGGTTTTGTTGTAGGCTTGATTGATGGCTCGCTGGCTTTGCCTTTTGATAATGGCGGCAGCTTCGGCGCCGTCGTCGCAGTCGTCGTGGTTGCCCATCGTGTCGGCTGCTCTCGACTACAGTGGTAAGCCGTCGCGTCAGGTTGTACAATTGACTTCGCGCTCATAATTTGACCCAAGCCTTTCGGCCAATATATGGTGGGCTCCACTGTTTGGTGGCAGTTGCTAGCCCCAAAAGGAAACGAAAGCAACGGTTTGTACAACACAACACAACTAGGCACTAGCGGAGGGTTGGATGGGCTGGGCTGGGTTGACGATGTCGCGGGGGTGGGGTTGGGTGTTTCGCTGTGTGCAAAGTGGTTTGACATTTTCTCCGCTTTGGCTGCTCATTCGCGAAGCATCTGCTGGTTGGGCAGGAGAGAGATGGGGGTGGGGTGCAAAGGAGAGCAGCGACTGACTCCCGAGCATAATCTGAGCATCGGTCGTGTGCAGCATTTCGGGTTCACATTTCGAGTGTATGTATTTCTTTTATTTTGCATAAATTAAGCATAAGTGTATTTGCACTCTCCCTCTGCCCTCTGCTGCTGCTTTTACTCTACCTCTGCTTTTGGTGGCCTTTCTACCCGAAGTCATTCGAGGCTTCGGCTTTTGTCATCGTTCAGTTCAATTTTGTTTGTACATTCGGCAAGAGACACGAACACACAGAAACAGAGAGGCATTCATAGACGGTGGTGACAGACCGCCGGCAGCGCCAGCACCACCCACACCTCACACCTCCCTTCAGCACATTACACCTCAGAGGAGGTGGCGTTAACGGGTGGTGCGGTTGTGTGGGTGTCAAATTTACTTTTTATTTAGTCAGATTCACACTGTTTCCCAGCCTTTGTTTTTCACTAAAAAGATTTTTCGATTATCTGAAGTGTGGGTGGGTGGATTTGTGTATCGAGTGGGGAGCAGAAACAGAACAGAAAATCATTTAAATTTGATTAATCGAATTATCGACTAATTTGCAACGCTAATTTGAAATGATTAGTAACTTTGATGCTCTCTTTGGGATAATAGTCACAATACTAACAAGAAAGTACAAAATTACTACACTTCTTTTGTTAATAAGGAACTTTGAATATACTAATCTTAGTATGTTACTGTCTTTCAATATATCATTATCGGAATATTAGAACGCAGCAAAAACGCACTTGGACTAATCGATTAATTTAATTCATTAGTCTTTCTATAATCGAATAACCCAAAATATGGGATCGATTTATTTTCGAAGTTTGTTTGGATCTTAATATTATTGTGTTCATATCTGAACACTTCTGAAGCTCAATTATCAATTTGTGATAATCGCTGATAAATCGATCAATATATCGATAAATGATTGTCATTTCACTTCTACAGCTTTAGACATAGAACTTCACCTAGAGACTGCCCCCTAAGATAAGTCTTTTAAGGTTTATCAAGTCTGCATTAATATCTATTTATATGTTAAAATTCATTGATAAGTCTCCACATATGGATATGGAGACATTTCCCCATAGAATTATAGCTTGATTTGTTCCAAGTTGATTCGATCTAAATAGTAAATTTCCTTGAAATGTTCTTAAGCTAGATATGTTCGAAATACAGTATAAAATATATATGGGAATGTAATCATGTTAGTAACCAATCAAAGCGTTAGATCTATCGATACTTCGATGATTCATGCAGGTTAGTATTCAATTAGTACAAGTGGTGTTATGGGTTATGTTAGATAGGAACAACGACATTTGTTGTGTGACGTGACGTGATGTTTGGTTTTGTGTCAGTGTGTGGGCTACAGTCTTCCATCGGGGCGGGGGCGGGGGCTGGGAGGGGTAGGTTAACAGTTAAAGGACTGTTCATTGTCTATTACACCCCTCGTAAGAGTATCAGAGAGGCAGTGGAGTGTTCTTGGTCATTGAGTGGGTGAGTAGGGGGTTGATTGGTTGGGCAAAGGGGTGGATTGAATGCATTTTGGGGTTATATTGTGTATAATAAATATAGTATAATGTGTGGTACTCATCACTAGCGTACATTGTTCATGCTGACGAGGTACATGGCCAGCTTATTGATATCCAAATTGGCCAACTGGCTGACATCGGTGGTGTTGAGGATGCTCAACATTAGGCTGATATCGGCGGCGGTGGGCATCGCCGGCACCGTCGATCCGCTGCCCTGCTGTCCCATTCCATGGCCGCTGCCCGTCGGCCCCGATCCGCCCGCTGAGCCGCCAGCGGCTGCGGCTGCTGCAGCGGCCGCTGCTGCCGATGTGCTGGGGCCCTGCGATTGCATCAGTGCCTGCAGGCTGCGTCCATTCGGATCGAGCTGCTGTTGCAGCTGGCTGTTCGACCCACTGCCGATGCCACTCGAATTGGAGCCACCGACGGAGGAGCCGGTGTTGCCACTACCGCCCTGCATTTGCATTTGCATGGACTGAAGGGTGGGCGTTGTGGGAACCGATAGCGGTGGCGTTGACGAGACCAATGCCTGTAGCTGTGGGGCAGAGGGACAGACACAGAGAGAGAGAGAGAGAGGTTGGGGTTTTTGTGGTAAGAACTCATTTAACAACAAGAACAAGAATCATGAGAGTCAAAGATGAAGGAGAGATGAAAAATTAGAGAATTCTGGATGATATGTTATGGGTTTTTTTTTGTTTTTTTCTGTTTTTTTTTGGTTTAGCCAATGAATTGATGTCGGATAAGGGATGGATAATGGACTGATGCATCCTTCAGGATAAATGCATCTTCCAGCTGGTACATAGTTTTGTTAATCAGCTGTTGGCTGTTTCAATCTTTCTTTAGTTTTGAGATTACGGATTCGGTTCTTGGTTCTCGATTTCAGTTGGGTTTCAGTCTTCCGTCTTCAGTCTGGGCTGTCTTTCGTCTGTTCTGTTCTGTTCCGTTCTGTTCTACTTTTAAACTACGGTGTACGGTTCGCAAAAACTAAGCTACGGGCCAACAGCTAAGCAACAAAACTACGTACGTTTCAACACTGGACACTACGACAAAAATAATGATTCAACAAATAAGGGTAGGGTGAAAAACAAACAGAAAACAAAAGAAAAAGTGACTAAAAGGTGTTCTTATTGTGTGTTAGGAGAGGAAATTTTTGGGAAAGAATAATCGTAAGCCAAATTATTCTTACGATTTAACAAATTTTTTCATCTTTACTGCAACATTTTGAACGGACTGCGTTTTGGAACCATGTATAAGAATATTATTGAAGTCACCGTTCAAATATCTCAAGACCAACGAAATATTTTGGTAAATTCGATTTCTTCCGATAGTCTTTTTATCGATATAACTTCGATAGAAATGCTTTGATACAATTTACCCCTGATTCGAATACGAATACGAACTTATTGACTTCTTTCAGACCAACAGCGATAAATAATAGTTTAATTGAAAAATCAATTGAATTAAAACATTTTATGGAACATGTAATCGAGACATGTTAAAAGAGAATCGGAAAATAAGTGCGAAATTCACAAAACAATGATGTGCACATATACATAAATATGAAGATCCTCTAAAGAATTACTTCTTATTTGATCCACAAATATATTCCATTTGTTTCCAAAACGCACTGTATTTATTGTAAAATATACATTTAAAGCCAAATAGTATACAGAAATGTCATTTGTAAGCCCTGACCCAAACATAAATAGTTTATTGCTGGCTTGGTTCGAGCCGAAGATTCGTTGAAAGATTAGAGGACAGAGGTGACAAAATTAACGTGAATTATGTGAATATAAATGAACGAAATGAGGGAATAATAGAAGTGGATTGGTGATAGAGATGATAGGGTTTTGGTTGTGATCGAAGGAGTAACATTTTGGAGGGACTAACCTTGGCTTTCTGCTGCTGCTTGAGCTCTTCCTTCTTGTAGTTGCGCTGGTAAGCGGTAATGACGCGTCGGAGGCGCGTGTTCAGATCCTGCATCGATGGCCACATGGTTGTGGCATCCTCGACAGCGGCCACTGTCGGTGGATAACTACCGGCGACACTCTCCTCCTCGTCCAGGCCTAAATTTGAGTTGGAGTTAGCATTTTCGGTGTTTGAATTGTTGGCCGTCGCCGCTGCAGACGCCGAGTTGGTTGTGGTTGTGGTGGTGGTGTTGGATGATGGATTGGTTATGGAAGTAGTAGTAGTAGTAGTGGTGGTGGTGGTGATATTTGTGGTAGCGTTAGTGCATGATTCGGGTGAGCCGGCAGCATCGGCCAGAGCAATGGCAGCGGCATCCTCGGCGGCGCCTCCAGCAGCAGCTGTCGTAGAAGCCTCCTCGCCATTGTTTTTCTTTTGGTTTTTCATTGTCTTAGTTTCCATTTCAGTGTCCAATGCGCTGGTTACCTCTCCAGAGTCGACAGTCATCGCTTCGGCCCCACTTGCGGCAGCATCTCCTCCTGCCTCAACCGAGCTGGAGTCAGCCTCAGGCGTTGAGGAGGATGAGGATTTGGTGCCGCCCGAGGTGGAGCTGGAAGCTCCGACTGCCTCACCAGATGGCACCTCGCTCTTAGCTTTGTCTTTTGTGCTTTTCGTTTCTTGATCTTGATCTGCCGATTCTGGGAGTGCTTCAGCTGGCTGCTGATCGGCGGTCGCCTCGACGGCGCTGCCATTGCCCTCAGTCGGGGCAGACGACGACGATTCCAGGTCGCTGCTGGCATTAGCATTAGCATTCGCTTTAGCTTTAGCTTTGGTGGCCGCTTCGGTGCCGTTTCCATCGCCGCTGCTGCTTGTGCTGCTGATGGTCTTACCCGACGAACTGGGACGCTCCGGATCGAGCGAGTCCTTGTTGTCGCCACCGGTCAACTTTGTGGAGTCCGAATCTTTGGTCGTTGTTGTCCCATCATCGTCCACCTCGTCGCCGTCATCGTGCTTAGAATTTGCATCGTCTTCGATTCTGTTCAAGAAACCAACCATAGACTAGATTAATAAAATATCTAAAAGATTGAACATAGTATATGCTTCATATAAAAGACTTGGATTTTGGGTCAGTGTAACGGTAAAGGAGCACATGCCACATAAAGATTTGCTTAAAAACTGAGAGAAATTTCAAGAGACACACACGCGCACACCACACATTCAGTGAACGGCAATGGATGGCTTCAATGAGACAATGCTTCAATGAGTGTGTGCCCGTGAGTGAGACCAGAGGAATGGAAAGCTCATGTTTAGTGTGACCATGCTGTGCTAACTTTAATTCAAAATCCTTTCTGGACAACAATTACAATACAGTTCTTCAATAGTTGAACCATTTTTGGCAACTTTTATGAATCCTAATCTCAAATCCTATCTCAAAAATATTCAATATCAGACCCCACCCATCTCTCTTGTTTACTTGATTTACTCTTAAATTTAAATGTTTAGAATCACTGATCTTCATGAAACCAACCCCCAAAACTGAAGCGTTCAGCAATTTAAGGAATTAAGATATGTATTTTAAATGAATTATGCCTTTGTGTGTGAGTAGTATTTGTGGGAATGGTTTCGAATGACTTAAGCATTTTCTTTGGATCCTTTATCCTTCTCTCCTTGACATCTGGCCAGAGTCTGAGCATGTTATATGGGGGGATTATCTCTAGTTTTAGTACAGTATGTGGCTTATGCGGGGGATTACTTAATGGTATTTATGGATGGTGCTATGCTAACTACTTTTGTTTTTTTTGTTTGGTTTTTTTTTGAGCACTTACATCGGCAAATTCGTGACGGCCAAATCGTCACCGGCACCGGCGCCCACATGGGTGACAAAGCACAGATTGGGATCGGCGCGCATTTGACGATACATTTCACAGCCATGCTTGTAGGTTCCGACCAATAGACTCTTATCACAACAAATGGGATTCCACCATGAGGATGGCACTTGATCTGGCGTTGGCGGCGGGCGAATGGGGAGCTCGCTACATGATTCATTCGTTCGATAGACATTCGATTGCGTTCGATAAACGTTTCGATTCAAATGTGTGTTTGATACGATACGACAGTGGAGGGAAGGAGAGCGTAAGATTTGAGAAATGCGCAAAAAGAAATGCGGTTTTTTAGTAAAATTGTTCAATTATTTTTGGTTAAATAATTTTTTTTTTTTGTTTTTTTTTTTTTGTTTGTATGATAAATAAAACGAAAAATAAAATCAAAAAGATAAATACAAATGATAAAAATAAAAAAAAATAAATAGAATGTAATAAAAAATAATAATTTTGTTAATAGCCAATTTGCACTACAGATTTTTACCACTACAAAATGCGAATAAAATTCAATACGAAAGCAAAACTCAAAACGGTTTTCCAAGAATTCATTCTCCTTCATTTTTCAACATTTTTTTCGTTGCCATTTTTGTGGAATTTGGAATTTTGTTGCAAGTACAAAAATATATAAATTTAATTATTTTTATAAAATGTAAAAAATCTCATTTTGTAAAATTTTTTAATTTTTTTTTTTTGATTTTTTGTAAATGAGGAGGACTGCACGACTGTACGAGGAGTATATGAGAAAGAGAGACAGAGAGGGAGTAGTAGCGTGGATATCCCTATTCGCCTGCTTGGATGGAGGAGCGAGCGTGTTGCGATGCGTGCGTGCGTGCGAGAGAGCGAACGATAGGCGATCGGTTTATGGCGGTTTCGGGGGATATTACCTTTCCATATGGAGTGCCAGCTGCTGCTTGGCTTTCGTACTGCTGCAGTTTTGACGGTAGTATCGTATCGTACGGTTATGTACGGATATTCATAATGAGATCAATTAAATATTTTTCGGTTGGTTAAACAAATTCGAGTTGACGAGCAATAAAAAACACACACACACAAAAACACAGCGATAGGAAGTAGTTAACGACGAATATGCCGAAGATTAGTTGGCAAAATGTGTGTGAAAATTGTGAATATATTGAACAGTGTATAAATCGGTTATGTACATTGTTAAATGGAGAAACAGATTATTGCATAGGTGGATATCGTTTATAAGTAGTTATCGGAAAGCAATATCGATAAAAGATCGAATTAAAATTCTGCTTTTAGAATGGTTTTATTTCCAATTAGTTTTAGTATTTTAGTGCTTTGTGACAAGTACAATTATCGATAAAAAGTGGTTCAATCGATAGAACAAAAGCGTTTGCAGATAACCGATTTGAATAAAGCATGTATAAAGTGTTGAATATTTTCATATAATTAGTATATTTGTCACATAACCGATCAGTACTGTACTTAAAATAAATGTGTGTGTTAGACATGAGAGAGAGTTGTGTGAGAATGTATGTTTACATTTAATTTGTTAGCATTAATGGACAAGCGAGAGCGAGCGACCAAACATACATTGACAGAGAGAGAGAGTGATAGAGAGAGCAATTACAGTTAAAGAGACGACTAGAGTGAGAGTTTAAGATAGATCAATAGTCAGGGCTGTAATTGGCTGGAACTTGATTGCAGTTGAGGGAACCATAACTGGTTCCACAATTTCATATAACTAGCTCATCAGCTGATTGAAAAGTTCAAGCGAATTAATTTACGAGAAATTTGATAATAAAACAGTTGACAAATTGGCATTTTTAGTATATAAATAGAAAAACAAATTCGCTATACAAATACAAATAATAAGATTCAATAAAAATGTAATTAATTATGTAACACGCTCCAGCAATCAGTCAGTCAATCAATCAATCAACAACAAACAAGATGTATGATGAAAGCTGAGAGGAGAGCGAGTTTCGATTAAAGCGGAAGTCCTACCTGATCGGAGTGTTATCCTTGATCTGCTGAACGAATTCACCAATCACCTCGTGCTGTATATAGTAGAGCATTCGTACGCGCAGCAGAACCCTGTGAAGGACAACATTGAATAAACAAAAGACAAAACGCAAATTGACGAGAAAGAAAGGTAAAAGAGAAAACAGAGAGGAGAATACGGGTATAGAGTGTTAGTAAAGGTTTGTTTTTGTTGTTCCGAGCGAGGGGTGGTGTTAAATGCACAAATTCGATTCCACACGTGACTCACTTATTGGCGTGTCTGCCCAAATGCTTCTTATAGGCCCCCTCGAGGTAGGCATCCGCATCGTACTTCTCCTTCTTGCTCCAGTGATTCGGATCATGGATGCTCATGGGAGTGGCAACCGCTGCGGCCACGGCGCTGGCACTGACTCCTCCACCGCCGAGTCCATCCTTGTCTCCACTTCCATCCAGAGCACTCGACTTGTGGGCGGGGGTCGTGTTGCCACTGTTGCTCCCCGAGGCAGTGCCCGGTGCCGGGGTTGAGCTGCCAGTCGACTCCTTATTTGACTTTCCACCATTGCGTCCTGTAAGGCAACAATTTGTTTGGATAATGTTAGGGTATGTTTCTTGGAATCCTTGGAGCTGTCCTCAGTCGTTTGGCATTCGCCTGAGGGCAACTCGATTGTTGTGCAATTAATGAATGCAATGCGATCTTCGCTGCACATCTCAATGAATATATGTATCTGCTTGAGATAGGTATATATACAATGGATTTGGTTTTCTATGCTTAATGTTGGTTACAAAAAACAATAAAGTGATCTTCGCTTAAACGAAGTTAGGTTTGTCTTTGCAAAGGGCTGTTAATGATCGATGATTTTGTTGTATTAATCAGAACAGAACTAACAATTTTCTAGAGAGTAAATTTAACAATACCAATTTAACAATAACAATTCACCGTGTAACCGTGATTGATCATTCCCGAGATTCATTTGTGGTTCTATTATATTTCCTATCATCCTAATGATGAACACCTTTGAATATGAAACGACTGTCACCAAGCCGAGGCCAGTTACGGCACCGAGCGGCACTGGCGCATGACGCGGTTTCCTATAAAAGTTTTGGAATCCTATACGACCAAAATGGTTTCGAATAGCTCTCAAAATGAGGCTGTATTTCCCATAACATTTTCTCTTAACCTTTGCAAAGATAAATCAATAATTAATACAAAGTACATTTAAAATATGAATTAATGGCATGAATGATTAATGATTACATGTATCTTACGTTATAAATATTAGTTATTGAATATATTTACAAATGTACAAAATAATACAAGATTCAAATATAGTAAAAGGCATACAATTGCATGGCAACAAAACATACACACACTTTTTTTGGTCAGTCAGTCGTCGAGTAAAGGTCGTTAGGAGTACAAATACTCAAAGTGAGTCCTGGTCTAAGTCGAGAGATTTTGATTTGAAGCGTGAGTTATACGAGTACAAAAGGAGGGCACCACAGGAGAGCCAGGAAGTAGAAGGAGGGCTGTAGTGCACAGACCCAAAACATCAAAGCGCACACACTACACAAAAATGGAGGATCCCTTGTGGACTTATATTAGATCTTTCAAAGAAGATTGAAGAAGTGTTTCAGAAGTTTATACAAAATAGTTAGGTAGGTAGTCCAAAGAGCCCCATGGAATATATAGAAGACAGAGTGTGTAGGAAGATTTTGTACAATTATTTGATGCTTTCTGTTGTGTTTTTTTTTGTAGGCTTTCGTTTGAATAACTCTCTACGTCCGTGCAGCAGTTGGGAGTGTGCGTGAATGTATCTTTTACCATACCTTTGGCGTTCCTACCTCGTGGCACCAAATTGTGTAGGCCACTATGATCCCTGCTGATTTTCTGCACCTCTCCATCCTCCGTGGGCGTAATGAGATCCCAGATGAATGTCTTGATCTTCTCGTCCCCCTTGTACACCTGCAGGCAGTAGAGGAGCTGTAAGGGGAATGGGAAAACATAGGTTACTTATGAAATGCTGAGAAATGTATTCTGATGTTTGATGTTCGGTTTGGTTTCTTTCAGCGGGTTGAGAAGTTGTGTTTTTACTCAGCGAAAACCTAAAGTTCTCTCAATATTAGCATAGCTTGGTCATCATTAAGTTTTGTCGTCCGTAAATGATATAAATGATTTGGTCCTGTGGTCTGTAATACTTACGATTATGCGGGCACAATCCTCAACATCAATATCGCGCCAGCCGCGCTTGAATTGTCCCAATTCCAAAAGTTCTGACCAGCGGCCCCAACTGCAAAAAGATCGCACACAAAATTAGTCTTTGAATTTTGAAAGAATATATATTAATAAAGTTTTGTCTGTAACGACAGGATTTTTAAGTGATAGGATTCCTTGGAATGATAAACAGACTGTAAATTTCTTAGATTTTCAGAATCGATACACGATTTTCCTGTGCATTGGACAGGTGAGAATGCAACAATGTGTAACGATCGAACACTTTACCCGTCTATTATTTGTCACTTATCTTTCCCCTTAACAATCTAGTTATCCTACATATTCATGTATAGTTTTCTGAAATGCTACAAAACCATATCATAGTCATATTAAAGAAAAATTAAATCTTTTATCCATCTTTCTTCACTAATATTAAGTAAACCAAACCAATAGCAACACCAAGATGAGTACGTCGGGGCTTAGTTTGAAGACGACGACGCCGTCGATGATGTTGAGCCGCAAGTCCGATATCAAGTCGCGTCTCAGCCACAAGTCTGGGACTAACCAGCAGGACTATGTGGCGCCGCAGGACCTGGACATTACGGCCATTACGTATAAATTCTATTTGGAGGAATACCGCAGCTATACGCCCGAGGAGCGTGTCGCACGATTGGCCACCTTCGATGCCATGGAAATGCTGCAGACCATCGAGCAAATTCACAACGATGTGGCAACCATGAAGCTGGAGAATTACATTATGGTCGAGTTTCTGGAGAAGAATGATCCAAAGCTATTGATTGGCCTGCGACAGCGTCGCACTTCGATAATGAAACGCTTGCAGAACAAGCAGCGAACATCGTTGCATGGCAGTCAGATGATGAGCAGCCGGAAGTCGAGCTCCAAGCGTTCTATACCCGTCTCCACATCACATCTGGCGTCCATGTTACCCGCAGGCGCCGATAGACGGCGTGGCGTGGAATACAAACTGAATTACAAGGCCAAGGCAGAGATGGCCGAGAAAAGGGCAGCCGAATTGGAGAAGCGTGTGGTGGACATCGAAAGGAATGGTAAGAATTGATGTTCCTTTCCATTAAATGCCCTTCAATGTGTCCCCTTTAGCCATGCTGGAGGTTAAGCAGCTGCGTGCCAAGATCGAAGAGCTGCGGGCTCGCAGCGAGGAGACCATGGAGACGGAGAACAACTTCATGTTGCACTTTCTGCGCGACGAGAACGATCTGGCCTTCCTGGAGTCGGCCACAGAGCGACAAATCGAGCGAAAGCTGCGCAAATTCACCAGCAATTGGTTCAAGAACGCCCGGGCTCTGCTTGGGACCATGAAGCTAACGATTGTCTCGCTGCAGGAGACCTGCCAGCAGCATCGTGCTGATCTCATCACAAAATCGGATCTAAGTGGAATCCTCACGGCCGTCGACTTTGAGAAACTGATCATCAAGCGCACGGAGCTGATCAATCAGCTGGAGGAGAAGAACATCCACATGGCGGGTCTCAAGGGCGTTACCGGGAAGACCTCCCTGGCGATGACCGAGGAGAAGCAGGCCATGATGAACCTAGAGTCCGAGATGCGTACGGTTCTCAATCGCACCGAGGAGGTATCTCGAGCCATTTCCAAGCTGGAAAAGGAAGTGGCCATCGTCCAGCTGCACAACGAGAAAGACTCGGTGACCCTCGACGAGCTGCGCGCCCAACTGCAGGAGTACGAGGCGCCCAGTGTCAGCGAGTATATCGAACGCAAGGAGGAGGCTCTCGTTCTCGAGAAGGAGGAGAAAATGCTCCATCGCAAGATCTACATCCTGAACATGAAGCTTAACAATCTTATTCGTCGCCGTATGCGCATCTCTGAATTTTAAAGCTCTTTGATCTCTGATCTGGAGATATATTTCTGTTTAAAACACAAATTAATATCATTTGATTGAGTTAATGCCTAAGAAGAAGCCGTTTTCATTCTTAAAGGTTGCAGGATATCCTGTGATATTAGACTGATTTCTATCCTAGAATCCTCTCATTGCAGATCTTTCTTTTTATGGTAAAAAAAAAACCAACTTACCCAAAGGAAAGCAGACCCTTTTCCACCTTGAAGCATTCGGATTTGGCCCAATTTCCATACTGAATCTCCTCCAAACCCAAGGCGGCCAAGGCATCACGCTCACGTGGTAGGTACTCCTCATGGCCCTTCTCTCTTTTGTCCCTGCCGCGATCGCGCTTCTCCTTGCGGCGTCGCGAACGTAGACCTGAATAGGGAAAACATTATAGGTCTCATGAATACTATTTGGTGGCTAGTGCGATGATTTTCTTACCTATTCCTCCCTCTTCATCGCTGTTTTCATTCGACGAATCCTCGGAATTGAGTTCCATTACATCCTCATGACCATAGCGTTTGATCTGAGTGCGCCGTCGCGGCTCAGAGAGTACCAGATCTTCGGTTTCATCGCGTTCGCAGGCATCGGGGTCTATGTCCACTTTCTTGGCCCATTTGGTCCAAAAGTCGGGATCATCGATGGTGATGTCCGATCGATTGCCGGAGGCGGCAAATGAGGCCTTCGAGAAGGTGGAACCCTTCTCCGATTCCATGGTAATGACCTGAGTGCGTCGCTTTAGGATCGAATCGATATCCTCCTCACAGAACTTATCCCCTGCATTGTCGTCGTCCATGACGGCCCCATAGGCACCTTTTTTGAGGAGATCTTCGATCTCCTTCTTGGACAACTGCTTGTTGTTGCCATCCTTGGAGCCCTGGGTGTTCATCGACTGGAGGACGGCCTTGTCGAGTCCGAGCTTCATCGAGGCCTTGTCGAACATCTCCCGCTCGTAGGTGTTCCTGCAGAGCAGTCGATAGATCTTCACCATTTTGCGCTGCCCGATACGATGGCATCGGGCCTGGGCCTGCAGATCATTCTGGGGATTCCAGTCCGAATCGTAGATGATCACCGTATCGGCCGCCGTCAGATTGATACCCAATCCGCCCGCCTTCGTGCAGAGCAGAAAGACAAAGCGATCGGAGCCGGGCTTCGAGTAGCGATCGATGGCCTCCTGTCGGAGATTACCGCGAATGCGTCCATCGATCCGCTCAAAGGGATACTTCCGGTAGACAAGATAATCCTCTAGAATGTCCAAGCAGCGGACCATCTGACTGAAGATCAGCACACGATGGCCATTGGCCTTCAGTTTGGGCAGGAGTTTGTCAATCAACACCATTTTTCCCGCCGAGAGAATCAAATTCTTGTAATAGGATTCGGGATCTTCGCCATGTTGCGACTTGAAATCGTACTGAATCTGCTCCTCGGCTCCATTGAGCAGATACGGATGGATGCAGCACTTGCGCAGCTCCATCATGGTGTTCATCAGATTGGGTATATTGGCCGATGTGGTGCCCTTTTTCAGGAAACTAAAGTTCTGTTCGAGTATGCCGCGATAGTACTTCTTCTGGATATTCGTGAGCTCCACCTCGATGATGGTCTCTTCTTTGGGCGCCAGTGATTTCTCCACGTCATCTTTGAGACGCCGCAACATCATGGGTTTCAGCAGTGCCTGCAGTTTGTTCACCTCCTCCTCATTTCGGAGGTTCCCGAATTCTGTCATGAACTCCTCCTGAGAGGAGAACTGCGCGGGTTCTAGGAAATTCAACAGAGAAAACAATTCGCTAATGTTGTTCTGGAGTGGCGTGCCGGACAGTAGGACCCTATGCTCGAGATTCAGCTGTCGCAATCCCTCGAGGAGTTTACAATTGCGATTCTTCAATCGATGCGCCTCATCAATCACACACAGACGCCAATTGAACTGCTTGAGGTCCATATAGTCTGTGACAATCATCTCAAAGGTGGTTATAAGTACATTAAACTTAATGGGTTCCTTCAGCACCTTTCCGCTGTCTGTTTTGTAGTAGAACTCGTAGTCCTGTATCATCTGTTTGCTGGTCACCGAACCGTGATACACCACAATGTTCATGTCCGTCCAACCCTCAAACTCTCGCTGCCAATTGGGTATCGTCGAAAGGGGGGCTATGACCAGAAAAGGTCCTCTTATTCCAAACTCATAAACCGAATGGACAAAGGTCAAGCTCTGTATGGTCTTGCCGAGACCCATTTCATCGGCCAGTATGCAGTTGTGGGTGTTGAACCAGGAGAACTTTAACCAATTGAGACCCTCCAGCTGGTAGGGACGCAGACTGTTGCCCCCCTTGTAGATGGGCGTCTTCTCCAGCTTCTTCCACTGCTCTGGAGGCGGACGCTTGCGGCTCTTCCACTCGCAACGCAATGGGGTCTTATTGAAACGCAGATACTGCTCGATTTTGTCATTGTCTACGTCTTCCTCGAGCTCCCAGGTGCAGTCCTCGTAGGGCAGAGACTTCCACTTGACGAGATAATGCTTTGTGGTTTCGCCACTGTTCTCGTCCGTATGCACGGACATGTCGAGTACGCGATCGACTTCGGTGAAGTCCTGATTGAAGGGCTCCTCTTCGATGTTCTCGAAGATGTTCACCTGCTGTGACTGCTTCTGCTGGAAGCGACGTATCTTGGCGGCCACACGGCGATCGCCCTTGAGGAGCTCCTCCTCGGTGCGCCACTCGCAGTGGAGGTAACTGAAATTGCGATATTTCACAAAATATTCCTCAACATCGATGTAAACGGGTTCGGGTTTGTTCTCCTTGTCCTTGGTATCCCCATCTTCATTGGTCGATTCTTTCTTTTCGGTATCCTCACCCTCTTTGGGGGCGGCGGCGGATTCTTTTTCTGCGCTTTCCTTCTCCGTGGCAGCCTTTGTTTCTTCTGTTCCCTCTGGCTTTGGGGAGGAAGGACTCTTGACGCTTGTCTTGGTGTCCACAGTTTCCTCTTCTGTTGCGGCTGCTGCTGGCTTTGGGGACTTTGCCGAGTCTCCTGCATTTTCTTCCACTTCCATTTTGTCCGAGGTCTCCGATTCCTTGGCCTCATCCTCATTCTCCGTCTCCGATTCCTTCTCCTCTTCCTCGGGAGCCACAGTGGCGGCCTCTTCTTCATCAGTCTTGGCGGCTTCTTCATCTTCTGCCTCGGATTTTGTTTCCTCTGGTGATTTGACAGCTGTCGTTTCAGTCGTTTCATCAACTTCCATTTTCTCTTCATCGGATTTCTCCGAGGATTCTTCTTCGGATTTCTCCGTTTCTTCTTTTTCTAGAGGTTCCTCTTTGGTGTCGTCGACTTCCATTTCAGAGGACTCCGTTTCGGGTTTTGGTTTCTTTTCCTCAAGTTTGCTTTCCGCATCCTTTGATTCTGCTTCGGTTTCTACCTCTGTTTTGGGTTTATCTTCCGTTTCTTTATCCTTTTCTTTAGAATCTTCACTGTCTGCCGCTTTGTCCTCCACTTTTGGCTCTGGCGTCTTCTCTTTGGGCACCTCTGGGATTAGCTCACGTTTGCCCATGCGCATGGCCAGCACCAATTGCACCACCATGCTATCCTCATCTCCCGTGTTGATGTACACGTAATTGGGCTTCGAGGACATGGCAGCGGATGCCGATTCGCTCGAGCTCTGACGCTCCTTCTCCGCTGCAGCGGCGGCTGCTGCCGAGGTGCTGGAACTGGCCTCCAGTTGGCTGCTCTCGTCCATCGCCAGGGAAGGCTTCTCGCCCTCGCCCGCAGAGTTGCCGGCCTCACCCTCGGCGCCAGATTGCGGCTCTGCCTTCTCCACATCGCTACCGGCATTCGAGTTGGCGGCATTTGCCGCGACCGATGATTTCTTGTCCTTTTTGACGGGCGATGCCACCAGCAGAGAGTTCTCGTCATCGGAGAATCGTAGCATCACATCATCGACGTACTTCTTTCGTTGTGTGTTCCTCGAAGAGCGGCGTTTGTTCGAGTCCAGCTCCGAGTCGGGCGGTGGCGATGGCGGGGGCGTGCGATCCATGGTATCGTCTTCGCCATCGGATTCGGGAACAATCCTTCCGCGATTCCTACGCTTCTTGAGGGCCTTGGCCGAGAGGGAGCCACGATTGCGTCGTGCACTGCCTCCATCCTCGGAGTTCGCATTGCGACGACTCCTCGCGGTGGATCGCTTGCGATCCCTGCGACTGGGCGTGGAGGCAGCATCTCCTGCGGAATCTGGCACCGAATCCACAGTCTCGTCTCCCGCCTCAGGATCCTTTTCGTCTTCGTTTGCGCTGCGTGGGATCTTCGACACGGGAATGTCATCATAGTCGGGCGATTCGCCATCGACTCCTGTCCCAACTCCGCCTCCAGACGTGGGTTCCGCTTCGCCATCGGCGTCGCCAGATCCAGACTTGGGGACCAGCGGTTTGTTATCCTCCACTTCGCTGCCGTCTCCTGGCGGTTCGATGCCCTCCTCGCCGTACTGCTTGCGGCGCTTCCCGACACTTCCACGTTTGCGTCCGGGGCCTGGGGAGTCTGTGGAATTGGGGTCCATGGGATCACGGGTTTTCTTGACCTTGGCCGTCCTATCGCGTGGCGGCTTGTTCGGGTCCTTGGGGGTGCGAGGCTTGCGCGGCTTCTTCTTTTTGCCGCTGCCATCGGTGGAGGTGTCCAGCTCGTTGGCCGAGTGCACGTCCTGCGACAGATCGCCCATGCCCTCGCTGTACTCGACCATCCCCACGACGCTCGTGTCGCCCGCTCCCTGGGTCACACAGTCCTCGGACACTGGCAGCTGTGTGGTGGGAATGGCAGCGTTGGCTGCCGCCACCACAACATTCCCGCTGATATCCATCAGATCCTGCTGGCTGCCCGCCTGTCCCGCTTTCTCGCCCTTTTTGGCCCGCGGTTTCCTTGGTTTATTCGCACCCTTGCGACCCCTGCCCGTGGTCGATGACACTTGGGGAGACTCGACCATCTGCTGATTGAGCAAAGGATTTGATCCTCCCATGTAGGGTGGCATGCTCTGGAAGAGCACACACTGTGGCCCACCCGCACACTGTTCTGCCATCTCGTGCTGCTGGAGGAGATTCAAGCGCTCCTGCAGGCGCATCAGCTTTTCCTGATGGTTCGGCTCGTGGCCGGGGGGCATGCAATACAGTTCCTGGATCTGCTGTTGCAGTGCCGCGATCTCCTGTTGATGCAGCATCGGATAGGGAGGATACATGCCCGCTCCTGCTGCATATGGTGGCAGCATTGGGGGCATAACCTGCGCCGCCGCTGCATCATAGCCCGGAGCCAAAGGATGCAATGGCATACCCATCGGAGGAATGGCAGGCGGGGGTACCGGTCCCGTCAGTGCTGGGGTAGCGCTATCCGTGGACATAGCTGTTGCCGGCTGAGATTTCTCTTCGGACATTTCCTCTCCGGATTTCGGGTCCTCTGAGAGGGAGGTCGAGAGATCTCCTCCCAAGGGCTGGCTCAATGTTGTCTGTTCGAGCTCCTCTGTGGTCTTGTCGAGGAGATCATCTTGCCCCACCACTGGCAGTAGCTCTGTGGATGCTGCTCCCATGGAAGCTATATCCTGCGTCTTGGACATGCTCGTCTCATCTTGTGGCAGTTCCGTTTCAGTTACGGAGGCGGCACCTGTGCCTGTGCTGCCACTCAGTCCCCCCTCGCTTTCGCTTTGATTCTTCTCGAATTCCGTGTTTGATGACTGCGAATTGCTGTCCAGCAGGGCAGCCGCTGCAGAGGCAGCATTCGAGGCCACCACAGCCACAGCCGCACTCGACGAGGACATGGAATTCTGATCGAACAGGCCCCCCACATCCACACCACCCACGGCATGCTGTGTAGAGTGCTCTGAAGTCGCGCCATGTGAGTTCGTATCTCTGTCCATTAGGAGCTGCTGCTGGTTGTTGCTGTTAATGCTGCTCTGCGAATTGCTGTCGTGCACGGACGTTGGCTGATTGTTCACGATGCTGTTGGTGCTGCTGTTGCTGCTGCTGTTGTTGCTGTCGTTCGCGGCCACAGCCAACGTTGAGGAATCATTCGAGTTTGCAGTCTCATTCAGTATGCTGCTCAAATGATGAGATGGTGTCGTGGGTGCCTGCTGGTGTTGGACTTGTACTTGCTGGGGCGTCTGCTGTTGCTGTTGTGGTGTTTGTTGCTGGTGCTGTTGCATCTGTTGTGGTATTGGGGAGCTCACATGTGCCGGCGACATTATCTGCTGCTGTGCCTGAGCCTGAGCCTGTGCCTGCGCCTGTGGCTGTACTACCGAGGTCGACGCCGCCGCCTGACTACTGGCATCACCCAATATATTGGCAAACGGATCAAACTGTTGCTGTTGCTGCTGCGCCTGCGCCTGCACCTGCACCTGCGATTGACCGTAAGTCGGCAGATGCTGCTGCTGCTGCTGTTGGTGATGTGGCGACTGTTGGTGTATGGGCGATTGATGTTGCAACTGGTGATGCGGCGATGTCAATGTTGGTTGCGGAGGTCCTGCTGCAGCTGCCTCCATATTCGGCTGTTGCATCAAATGATGCATACTGGGTAGGCTTTGCTGGTGCAAAGGCGAGGACATGGCCGAGATTTGGGGCTGTTGCTGCTGTTGGTTGCTGCTGCTGCTTCCTCCAGAGCTGCCACCGCCTCCTCCCACTATATCGTTGATGGAATGCTGCAGTTGGTCATTGAGCGATTGCTGTTGCTGCTGTTGTTGCTGTTGTTGTTGCTGCTGCTGTTGTTGTTGCTGCTGCTGCTGTTGGTGCTGCTGCTGCACTTGTTGTTGCTGCTGTTGTTGTGTTGTTGCCACTGGCGGTTGCGGCTGGGCCGCCACAGGTGGCACAACCACTTGTTGCTGCTGCGTTGGCTGTGGTTGCTGCTGGCCCATTGCCTGACCATACATGCTCAATTGTTGCTGGTGATGCTGCTGCTGGGCTGCCTGCAACATTGCCGCCGCCGCTGCCGCCTGCTGCTGTTGCTGCTGCGCAGCGGGTGGTGGTGCCTGCTGTTGCTGCTGCTGCTGCTGTTGTACCTGCTGCTGCTGTGCCGCCGCCTGTGCCTGTTGCGCCGCCTGCTGCTGTGCCGCCGCCTGCTGCTGGGCCGCCGCTTGTGCCTGCGCCTGTTGCTGCTGCTGCTGCATGGCCGCCATATGCTGGGGGCCACCCCATTGCTGGTGATGCTGCTGCTGCTGTGGTGACGGCGAAGCCGGCATCCTGGGACCCACAACGGCACTCCTGTACGCCGAAGGATAGTCCATCGGTGGCAGGCCATGCGCCTGGGTGGGCATCACCATTTGTTCGAGTGCCTGGAGAGTGTTCACTGGTGCAGGGACCACTCCGACACTGGGCGGCACGCCCACTCCTACGCCCACGCTGGGCGGCACCTTGGAACTGGCTCCCGTGCTCCCACCGACCGGTGGCTGCGGCCTGGGCGATGGCAGACCGACCATTCCCTGTATGCTGTGCTGGCTGGGCTGTGTGTTCACCTGCTGCTGCTGGGCGTTCACCTGTTGCTGCTGCTGTTGTCCCTGACTGCTCTGTGGCGGTGGCTTCGCTGGCGACACGCCCACGGGTCGCGGCGACATCTGTGGATGCGGTGACATGGTGGGCGGACGCGGCGACATCTGTGGCGAGAGTTGCGGGAACGGCGCCCTATACTGAGGCGAGGAGTTGAGCTGTGCCGCCGCCTGCTGATGCTTGCTCGAAGACATGTACGGAGGCGCAGCCTGCTGCTGCTGTTGTTGCTGCTGGGGGTTCACCTGTTGCTGCTGCTGCTGGTGGTGACTCCCATAGCTGGGCGGCATTCCCATGTGTGGCGGCGGCAGACCGGCTCCTGGGATCTGTTGCTGCTGCTGCATCAGACCCACATGATTCGGCTGCTGCTGTTGTTGCGCCTGCTGCTGCTGCGATTGGAGCTGCTGCTGCTGGTGGGCCCCCAATTGTTGCGCTGCCTGCTGCTGCTGCGCGGTCAAATGGTGGCCCGGTGGCGCTGCGCTCGGCACATGCTGGCCATAGGCCGAGGCCTGATCGAGTCCCGCATGTCCGTAGCCCACATGCTGTGGAGCACCCCGTCCCGGCTGATGCTGCATCGGACTGCCGTATGGACTGTGGGCGTAGGCCTGCGGTGCGGCCGGTTGTCCCGCTTGAAGGGCACTAGTTGGTGCGCCACTCACGCCCACTCCCACGCCGGGATAGAGCGGATGCTGACCAGGGACCTGCGGATAGTGCTGCGGCAGTCGAGCCTGCTGCTGGCTCTGCTGCTGCTGCTGTTGTTGCTGCTGCTGCTGTTGCTGCTGTGGCGTGGGCGGTTGCTGTTGTTGCTGTTGCTGCTGGGGCGCCAGACTCCCGTAGCCCGTCATCATGCTCTGTTGGGCTCCGTACGGAGCCAGTTTCTGCTGCTCCTGCTGTCCGTACGCGGGCATATGTTGGCGGTAGGCGCTGGCATTGCTCTGACGCTGCTGCTGCGCCGGTGGAGCTGCCTGCGGATGTCCATATGCCCCCAGGCCGGCTCCCGGATACGCTGCTGCCTGTCCCGGTACCGAGGGGGCTGCTCCCCATCCACTTAGATCACCCATTCCGACTCCAACGCCCATGCTCGCCGCATGCTGGTCGGCGGCCCCCAGCCCGTACAGATTCTCCGCCGTTGGCTGGTACGATGGATATTGTGGCTGCTGCTGAAGCGGATGTGGAGCTCTGTGGCGCGGCGGATAACCTCCCGGTGGGCCCATTGCCCGAGGATTTGCCGCTGCGGCGGCTGCTGCGGCGGCGGCCGCATCGTAACGGTAATAGGGATCTCTATAAAGAAGGAAAGACCGAAAAAAGGACAGTGAATTAGAGATAAGTTAACCATAGGATATAGAGGGTGTTCTAGCCTTAACTAAGTTCATAACCAAGTCCTTCTGTTTGCTTATCAATTTCTTTGCAGAATACCATTCTGCCATTTATAATATATAATTCTATACGGAATTCTGTCTGTCCGTCAGACCGTGTTGTTTGTCGCCTTGTTCTCAGAGACGATAAGAGCAACCTTACACAATTTTATGTGCAGACTACTGTGATATCACACTGAATCAAGTTTTATTCCACAATCAAAGAGTATGACCGATCTGGTATAGATCGGATCATTATTAGTTAGTATGACCCTTCCAAACGCTATCTCCCCCTTTTTCTCTATCTCTTCCCCACACTCTTCCTCGCCTATTGTGCACCACCGCGGAAATATAACGGCTGGCATTGGTGTGAGAAGAGAGAAATAGACAGAAACAGATAAAATATTTGAAAATTCTAATCAATTCTAGTCACTAGGCGGGAGAAGGATAACAGAAGTGCAAGAATTAACATTAGAATATATGTCATAGTGGTCTTGGTTCCTCTTTTTCTGTCTACGTTTTTTCCCTTACTCATGGCAAGAGTGAGAGAGATCGCTGTCTGCGCTGTCCGCCAAAGGCTGAAACAATCCCAAACATCTTAAAAAGCGAAGCTGGCTTATTTTTACAGATAAATAGAAAATGAAAACTTCATAAATAGGAGCAGAACACATTCCATTTACTTAAAAACAAAGTCTACAACGCGCGATTCTTTCTGTTGGTAATTGCATAATCTTTGTTAAAATCCTTAACCATTATCTGATCAAAATGTGATACGAATTCTATGTTTTTATTGGCTGCAAAATATGGAATGAATCTTTAAATTTAAAGACTCCTTCCTCCCCATCTTCTCAACTATTCAACCCATTTCAAAAACCTCTTGGGGTGACATTCTACCCAAAAACAAGCAAAAAAAAAAGGATAAAAAAGGATAATAAAAACTCACCCTTGATGATTTCCGTGAAACATATTTTGTGCATTTCCATCCATCAGATTTTTTAAACGCAGCGCACACAGAAATGTCCGTTACGCGTCGATGGAGACGCGACGCTGCGTTTTTTCTAGGTTTGGTCGTCTATTGGCTTAATTTTGATGCTGCTCTCTGCGCGTGGCCGTTGTCAAAAGGTGGAAATCGGGGAACTGCAACTGGAACTGGAATTCGGTTTCGAGCTCGAGTTCAAGTTCCGTTTTCGGGGGGGTTGCCGGGGACCCCTGAATATATATATATAATTTTTTGTTTGTTTTGTTATTGTTGTTGGGGCCTCCTCTGTCGCACTTTCTTTCACTATTTATATGTATATTATATTCGTTTATAGATTTCTTTTGTTTCTAACTACTAAACTTAATTACAACTGATGTGCAATTTAACGTCTTGATGTTGCTTTCATATAGTATTATTAAAGTCATTTGATTTTCTTGTTTCGCGCACTTCATGGCCGACCTTTGACATATTCGCAGTGAAACACATTTGCTCACAGCTGGAAATCAACAAAATAATCATTCGATTAATATTAGTACAAAATTCTTGTGGTTTATAAATGGGTCTACGTTAAACGGCAATCTATCAGATGAGAAGGCATATTTTTTGTTTGGCGAGCGTATTTTAAGCGAAATTTGCATAGTTCTTAGGTATTTGTTTGTTTAATCTGAAAATATAAGAAGAAAATACGAATTTTAGTCAGAAATATCTACTGATATGGTAGGAACTAATGGTAAATATAATATTTCACAAAAGTTAAGCTCTTGTGTCTGACAACCGAGGCAATGTGCCTCAAAAAAAAACCTTCTGATTGGCGCTTAAATATTAAATATCCCTTGGTATTAAATTTAAATCTTTACTTAAATCTAACGATAAATATTGCTTCTTTAATATAGATCATCGGCTATGATGATGATTATGGACTGAAGAAGACGGAAAACAGATGGAAACACAACACAAATACGTGTTTCAATGATAAATATTTGTGCATACTGAAGTCGAAGATTGTTGCTAATATTTATAACTATTTTGTACTTAACATAGGCTAGAATTGTTGTTGCGATTGTTGCTGTTGCATCAAGTTTTAAGGGGAAAAGCTATACGCTTATGAATTTCGAATATTGTCACATAGAACGTACAGTTTGACCCCTCAAATTTTTGAGCAGATGGGGAAATGATTTTGGGTCTATAGTTCACTTAATAAATTTAAAAAAATAAATAAAACATAAATAGTACAACCAAATTATATTGTGGGAATAGCCATGAATGAATGAAGGTAATGAAATGCAATAGTTGCAAATAATATTTAACAAACTCTTTAACAGATTTAAAATTATAAAGATTATAAAAATATAAGAACCAAAATATTAGTAAGGGGATGTTATTCGTTTGCATGGCTATAAATTCATTATAGAATCCATAAGGAATAAATTGAAACAAAATTAAAATGAAAATTTGTTCGTGGGGGGGAGCAAATATTTGCTAGGAAGGCAAATAAAATAATGATGAACTAGAACTAGTTCATACTTTATACTCGCATGAGTGAAGTATGAACCACCCACCCAAAATGTTTCAAAAAATAAAACAAAGATCAAGTGTAAAATAATTAAATGATTCACTGGTTTTTCTGAACGACTCTGAATGGCGGAGCCGGCAAATAAAAAGAAGGGTAGATGGTCGAACAGAGGTTGGTAGTTTCCTTTTAGGAATGGACATGAATATTGCCTGGGAGTTTGGTTGGGGTTGGGCTTGGGCTTTCGATTCGGAATGTTGTTGGGTGTTGGGTTGGTTTCGGTTTCGGCTTTGGTTTCGGTTTCGGTGGGGGTAGAAAATCTTATGCGGCGACAGTGAGAAAAACAATGGCAACTCTATCGATTTTTCTCGCATTGTCTCCGACGCGCGTTGCCCGTTTTTAGCCGAAAATCTAAAGTAGCAGAAAAACGGCAACAAAACGAGAGCGAGAAGGAGAAGAAGAAGGAGGCAGAAAACAAAAAAAATAAGAAAAATGCGGGTGGGTTGACTGACTGGTTCATGGGTGGTGGGGTGGTGGGGTGTTGGGGTGGCGTGGAGCTGCAGAAGTAGGGAGTGTGGAGTGCAGAGCGGGGGAAGCTGCGAGAGCCAAAAGATATGCAAATGCCACCAGCAAAGAGAAGGAGATTCGAGGAGCTAGTGGAGTGTGGCGGTGTGGGGTGGCAAAGGTGTGGTGTCTGTTTTATGGTGTGTTTCTGTCTGTGTCGGCGCGAGTGTGTGTGTGTGTGTGTGTGTGCAAATGGAAAGTAGAGATAGACACAGAGAGACATAGAGACAACAACAACAACAACTATAGCGAGAGGAACCATATCTCTCGTACATAGAGATATGCAGTTACATACACAACCGAAATTTGCTGCTGCTGCTGGCTGCTTCTGCTACTGCTCTTGTGTACTGTTATAAATACGTGCGCACATACAGTGTGTACAACTTGTATTCGTACACCCTGCAAAAACGGCAACGTGTTTGTAGGAGAGTTATGTTGTTTTTATATTGAATCTAAAATATAATACAGTGATGTGCAATAGACTGTTTTTCTTGTAAACAAAATATGTAAACAGAATCATAATTAATATTTTTAGCATTAAAGTACCGCAATAGTGAAACTGGGTCCTTGGTAATCATATCGTATTATTTATGGACGCCCAAAACTTTTCTTTGTTTAGAGGGTGTACGCATACTTTTCGGTGCGAGTGTCTTTTGACAGGGGTAAAGGCAAAGGCAGAGGCAGCGACAGAGGCATCGCCGCAGTCAGTCAACCAGTGAACCGCACATACACACATTCACATTTGCACACATCTCCATTCATTCAGCCACACAGAGATTCAGACACAGAGAGAAACATATCATCAGCGAAACTTATGCGAAGAGTGCATGGACGGTCGGTCGCCTGCCATGGGGCTAAGCGGAGAGCTTAGCACCGTTTCCCCCACCAGCCCACCATTCCATCCCCATGCCCCCCCCTCTCTCAGGAAACCCATGAGTTGCTCGCGCTCATTGGACAATCATTTAGCCAGTTGTCGCTCGCTCTCTCTCTCTCTCTCGCTATGCCTCCCTGTCTTTCCTCTCCTCTCTTTTGCTGGTGCGGCTGCTGCTTTGAGTGTAATCAATTACATTTCGCTTTTGCAAATTCAGCTATTTATTTATTTAGTTTCCAGCTTTCCCTCCCCCCCCCCCCCCCCCCCCCCCCCCCATTATTATTAGTAGTAGTCGAAAGGTACATACGAAACACATATTTCTGTGCGAAAGAGTGAGATAGACTGTCGTTACAGAGGCTTAGGCGTTTAGGGGGTATTAGGATTTTGGTTATGTTTGCATATGTAAAGAAAATATTTGTGAACCTACAAAACATCAATCTGCTAGGGTAGCCCAATCTTCGGACCCCTAAGCACTCCGCCTTCCTACCTCTGCGGGGGGGGGGGGGGGGGGGGGGGGGGGGGGGGGGAATCTAAGCGCTGAAAGTGTAACATCCCCCTTTTTGCATACGCCTTTGTCTTAGGTTGGATATTTATCAAAGCGTGTTTATGGCTATCGGTGTTTTTCTGTTTGTGTGGGTACATGTCATTGAGTTTACTTATTTTTTTTTTTTACTTTTCTTCTTCTTCAGTCTCTTTCTTTCTTCTGCTGCTGCTTCTTCTTTTGTGGCGTCGCCATTGCCGCGCCGCTTTTACACAAGCAAATCAGGCAAAGTAATTGCAAAAACAATAAACTAAAAGCAATAGTAATATGCATACAGTCTTATATACATACATATGTACGAGAGTGTATGTTTTTTTTGTGACTACAGCAGCGATCAACAAAGTAGTTAAAGCAAAACTATTTGCCCCAAGCAAATGTGCCGCTTTTAAAGAATTTCAAATAAGCATTATTTTGTTTAAAGGTAGAGCTGATAATCTTGCTTATATAATTCACAAAGTAAGATTAGATAACACAAATAAATGTTGTAGCTGTCCGCTGACCCTTTCGGAGATCCGCATTGAAAGAACATGCATTATGATAAAGTCTATCCCTCACTATTCCCTTGACCGCTACTGTATGTTTGCCTCTACTATGTATATAGTGTGTGTGTGTGTTGTTTGTGTAAGCCAAAGCAGACATCTGAAAAATTGTGAAATTATACTTTACTTATTGCGAGTGTAGCCATAGCCATAGCCATAGCCCATAGCCATAGCCAGTGTCTGCTCCCATTGTGCTCTATGTGTCTGCGTTGGTGGTGTCGGTGTACCGGCCTTTGTGTCTGTGTCTGCGCACAACTGTACATTTGTTTTAAATAAGCGAAAAATCGATTAAAGGTGATAATAGACAGGCAAATTTCTGTGTGTCCAACTTTGGCAGCGGCGACAACGAGAGTCACAGCCGCCGCAGCCGCAGCCGCAACGACAACGATGTCGCCGCGACGCAACATTTCGGTGTGACCCTCCGAACAACAACACTACTGCGGGGTGGGGTCTACATTCGGACATTTCTTCTTTTCTTTATGCCACATCGTTTAATGAGCCATGAAATCTGGAGCTCCAGCGAGCGAGCGAATTTTCTCACAAACCCAAAGGTGATGTAAAAATGTTTTCCCAATTCGCAAACCCCACCATCGACACCGGCATAACAGCTGGTAATCCAATTACAATCCACCAAGTCCATCCAGACGAATGTTCCTGTGCACTCAAGAAGGCATCCGTCCGTCCAGACGGGTGTCGTCAGCTCTCCAGATAACGACCTCGGAGGGGGGCGGACGGAGCGCCAGACAAAAATCAAATCAAAATGTAGCTAGGTAGATAGTATATTGGGGATCTTCTCGATCACATAACGATACAAGACATGTAACTGGAAGGCTGAATTTAAGCAGCAGCCCCTTACTCCTCCCCTATTCCTTGGATGACAGATTCAATAATTTGCTTGAGGACAAATCGATTCCGCAGACGAATTTTGTACAAAAACTAAAATGTATTTCAATTAAAATTGATCTAGACTGCGTGGATACCGTGCGAAAAAATTATGTAAACAATGTATGAGAGGAGGATTGTCTTTGGTATTTTACACTCCTCTCCCACACTCTCATTTATTGTGGGTCAAATATTCGTTACATTTCAAAGGTGAATCAAAAGAGAAGCCCAAAAAAGCTCAAGTCAAAAAATACAAACACGAACCAAAGCACAAAACACAACTGTCAAAAAAAAAAAAAAAAACTTTGAGCTAACTAAAGACGGAGAAGAGAAGGTGAATGAACTGTTGTGTTGTCTCGTCTCGTCTCTCTCAATCTTATTTCTCTGTTGCGGCTGTTACTGCTGCTGCTATTGTTATTGCAAAATGTTTAATCATAAGTTTCATTTGATGTATTCGTAAAAGCATTCCTTCATTCAGCTTTCTTGGCCACTTGAAAAAGATACGAGTAAGTCTGTAACCAAAAATTAAATCAAAATGTGCCAATTATACAATCTCTTTTTTTTTGTATGACTTTTAAATAAGTTACAA